GATAACTTCATTCCGAAGTATGACGGCGATGAAGACTTCCCGATCCCTGCGCATTTGTTCGTACAACATCTGCAGCTGTCTCTGTCAGACGCACTGGATCAAGTGCGAGCGGAAGAAACACAGCAGCGCTTGAAAGATAAGATCCGGTATGACGCTAACGCACGGGAAGTCGAGTATGCAGTTGGTGATCAAGTTATGGTTCGAGCGATGGCGCGTACGAAAGGGAAACATAAGGCGTCTGAAGGCCTTTGGCGCACAGGATATGAGGTGAAAGCGAAATTGTCCAGTATACACTACAGAGTGCAGTGTAATAAAAGAGGAGCAGTGAAACTGGACGTTGTACACGTATCGCAAATGCGACCGTATAACATGCGAAAACCTGATGAGCCAGAGCCGACAGATATTGAAGATATAAGTACAAGTCATAAGCCGCTTAAGCCTGTGGAAAAAGAGCTGGAAGACGAGATCGAGGAGTTTCCCGTCAGGCCAGAATTGCCTGAGCCGGAAGTCCAGGATGTTCCCGTTGTTCCAGTCAGAACTCGTTATGGCAGAAATGTGAAACAGCCGGACAGGCTGATTAACAAACAGTAATCCCCGAAATCCCCGGGAACTGTCGCAACCGCCGCGAGACGGCAGGTTAATGCATTATCTGTATGCTGCAGTACTGTATTGTGGGTAAAACAGCGCATTACAATTTGCAGCTGTACACATTTGAATTTATTTTGGGTTCTTCGGTTTGCTCTTTGCGGATTGATCTCTTTTTCTTTGTGAATCTTATTTACCATTGTGGAAGTTTGAATTTTGCGTTATAATGCCTCCGTATTTTAACCGTGGACGAGGCGGCCGTGCCCATCAACACTATCGGAATCAGCTGCTACAAGGCCTTTATAGCACTACGCTAATGGCTGCAGGTTTTCAAACGCAACGAGGAAGATATGGCCGTCGTCGTGGACGATTTGGTGGTAGAAACCGCGGTGGTGAAGCTCGAGGACGTGGTGGCGTTAACACTGAAAGTAATGCCTCTGTTCCCACGGACAACTGGCGTCGAGCAGGGCGAGATCTTGCAGCAGATCCCCAGAATGGACAGAGTGGCAGTGTTGGTAATGTTGTGCGTAACGGTGATGTGGATATGACTGCTGGTGTAGGAAATGGCTCAGTCCCTGCCCATAATTCAGCTGCTTCCTCTAGTGTCCCCACTGGCCAGCCGAGTGCCTCAGCTGTGCAGAGCGATGCGGACAAGGAGCGTGAGCGACAACAGAAGCTTCGTCAGCAGATGGCCTTGGATGCCAGCAAGAACGCTCCGTCGACAGGTACTGAGCAAACTCGGTTCTCATTCTGATCGCGCTGACAGTTTCTGCTGATTTTGCCAATTCTCATTAATTCTTACTGAATCCCTGTTGATCTCCGATATGGGGTTTTGCTCAGTTTTTTCCCATGTGATTTTTCTAGAATTTGCTGACAGAATTCCTCAGTGCGAAAGTGGCGTTTTATTTTTATTTTTGTGTTTAATCGCGGATGTTTTTGCCTTAATTTTCATCGGCGATTTTACCTTAATTTAATTTGGATTTGCCACTGAAATTCCGATTTATTTTTCCGACGATTTTCCTGTTTGTGTTTTCTCCGACTGCCGTGTTTCCCATCAATTCATTTCCTGACAACTCTCACCTTCCACCCCGTCTTGGATCCTCTCCTCATTCACCATCTCACTCAGTCACCCGTGGAGGAGGATCATGTCATTCTGGGACGGAGGATGGATTTTGCCCGCCTTGCCCAGTCGAGAGCGTGAGAACTCATTTTATTTAGTTTTTTATTCCTGTTCTTTTCGTTTCTTTTTGTGTTGGGTTCCCCAAGAGCCGTTTGCGGGGGTGACGGAATATGGTGTACGGTAGCGGCTAAGTACAGTACTTTTTCCATCAGTACTCGTACATGTTTGTACTTTCTAGCATTTTCCTTTTGTCTTCGGATATACTTTTGGCTTTTCTACACGGAGGCGCTTCGCGCCTATATAAGTCCGAGAGTTGCAGTCTTTTGGCATGAGTTGTTTCGCATTCGAAGTTTGGCAGTGTCGGAGTTTTTCTATTAAAATCTATCGTCGGAATGCAGTCAGATTCTCGCTTCGCGTAGGTCGTAGCGTATGCATATTATTTAGTTATGCCACATTGAGATTATCAGCTCATTCTCTGTCGTTGAGTCAGGTCGGTAGGATTGATATTACGGTATTATCCCTATCGTACTCGTCTCTCCGTCATGAATAAATGTATCTTCAGCGAAACCTATCATTTCCGTGCCCTAAAAGAATTTTATTATTTCATTACAAGCACTTTTCGGCAGCGAAAGCCGGAAGACTGCAGGCATAGATATTTTAAAGAAGAAATGACGATCTGAGAAAGAAACCAGCTCACCGATTTGCTTGCTGGGATACTGCATGGATACAGGCACAATATACCGGTACGTACCGATAGTATGTGTTTTTGTTCTCAGTAAATTGTTTAACAGCTTCCGCTTAAATGGTTTTACCTACTAGCGAAATCCAGGTGCGAGAATAACAAAATCTATTACTCGTAGTCATTTGTGGGTGAATTCACCTTACCACGATCTGTCGGCTGTTAGTGTGGGAAAGGCTGGCACGGTCGGCAGCGATGCTGACCGGAAGCTGGATACCGTTTATACGGGGGATAACGGTTGGATTGCACGATCATCCCATGGCGGTTAAACAAAGTAACGCCAGGACATCGCCAGAGTTCATGGGCAAGTGTACAGCACGATTCAGCGAGCAAAACAAGCTGGATGAGCAGGATGCGCATGGGCACAGTTCATTGGAAGAAATTCCACCCGAGCTCAAGACCAAAACTGTACAGCGCATCAGGCGCCCGCCCGCAGAAAGCCACGTTTCGTGAAATCAGGATTGGGTTTATTGTGCCGGGCACGCGTGATAAACAGCAGGTTTTCCAGCAACACTGCGAAGTGTGATTCCAACGACGGGCAGTATTCAGGCCTGAGCACTTTGGTCGGAGCACCCGCAATAGTGCTCCAACCACAGTGTCCGGGATGAAAATCACCGCCCCGTCGTCGCCTTAGCCGGTGATGCAAGGAGTCGTACAAATCTGCTTACGGGATACAAACGGACTACGTACATCCATCCGACCACGTGTACGTACCGTGTGGCTCCACGTCCCATTGCATGGGTCGGTGCTTCCAGGGTGAGTTGATGGCACTCGTTGTAGCGGAGGTCATGAACTCATGATCCTGCTTAACGCCATCGGAACTGGCGTTAAGCAGGATCATCACTTCCGCGGCGGTGAGTGTAGCGCGTAATGACCCATCACGGCGCGGCATCACCGGATGTAGTCAATCGACGGTGTCCCGGTGAAATTCTGCGTCAGTTTTGGCGGTCCCGTAACCCCAGAAAACCGAATGTTGACGTGTGCACCGGCGCTCTGGTGTAACGAAAGCGCCAACTTTGAAGCTGTTTTACCGCGTAGTTATTGGGATGCAAAAAACCGGGCAAAAGTCGATATCGGTCAACAAGATATGCCACATGTGACACCAGCCGTATCGGCATCGTCGGCCCGTCAGGCGACGCGATATCGTCAGCTGCGAAGAAGATGTGAAGCGTCCGCGGCGTGTACCACGCTGGACCGGATGATGCCTGGTGCAATCCTTCGTACTCATCCGTCTCAGCCCTCAGTCAACAATTTCCACTGTTTTGGTAACCGTCTTCCGGTAGCTGATGGATTCGCTGCTGATTAACAGCCATCCGAGCACCAGCAACAGAAAAATCCGTCTTTTTGCAGTACTTCGCCATTCTGTATCGGCTGCAACAAGAACAAGCACGGCGGTTAAATAAATAGCTACTTCGACATTTTCTGTATATGACAAACGCTTTCCCTATATGATTTCATGGCAGGGATCCTACGCTTGGTCGGTCCAGCGTCCCTTAGGTTTCATAAAATATGACGATTCGTTCGGTAACAAGAATCAGGCTAATTGGAAAAACGTCTGGCAACCGCACAACATCAGCCCCATTGGGTGGCATGGCTCTGTGTGTCTGTCGGAGAGCAAGCGAGGAAAGGATCCACTATTCCATAGTAGTCTACCGGGCGCGATCTTTTAACCTACGTTGTAGTCCCTTCTCATGTTATCTGGGACACATTCTTCATTTGGTTGTTACTGTTGAGCGAAGCTCGCTTTGTGCATATTGAGAAATAAACTGTCCATTCTGTTACAGTATTAAATTATTAGTGGGCTCAGTACAACAGCCGATAGAAATTAACCCCAAAGCGGAAAACCATAAGAGAACATAAGAAAACATAAGGAACTAGGATCCAAACAAAATTTAGCCCAGATCAGTGCACACTCCATTAGGTCTTACACAGTTTACACTCACCACCGCATGAAGACTGCAACACCCAAGTACTGCTCAGTAGTTAAGAGAAATCATTGAAATCGCAGGTTGTAATAACGATTTTGACCAAGACACTTGCGTGAAAAGTAGAAAACCCGGATCCACGGACCACAGGCATGCATCAGTCCCTCGAAGGAATGTGGCATGGCAAATTAATGCCAAATGTATTACTGCGTCTAACCGACGGCAGAAAGCGAACGCGTGCCGATCAAGTATCGCCTGAGTGAGCCGGCCGCTGCCGATCGGTGATTGGACGACAGGGCGACGGCGGCAGACAGAGTGGGAGTGCCTAACAAAGAGGGCGGGGCGTCTGCAGCGCCGCCGGAAATGACGCAGAACGGCCGACGCGGAGCAGTAATTATATTTGAATTCAAGGTTAAATATATATAAGCCTTAGATTACATCTGTCTAGCGACCGGTGCGGTGGCTGGTACATGCCATGACAAAGACCTTCTCGGCCGATGATAACATCGTTATCGGCGGCGTTTTATTGATTGGCACTGGTAATCGATGTGCCTTGAATTCGCACACACGCTTAGCAACCGCCGTGCACCACAACGCACGTCTGATGTCACAACACATCCGGCGAGCTAAAGCAAGAGTAGTGCTTTGAAACAGGAGTAACTAGAGTACAGTCAGATGATTTTGACAAGAGTTTTTCCACAACCTTCCTAAAATTTCATTTCAACCGTACAGACTGTACAGTATAACGGATATATATAATTATGGAGGAAGCCATGTCTTTTACACGTATGGTCGTATCCGACGCCATGAATGGCAAGTATCACTTCCCCATCTGGTCGTCGTCGCGCCGCGTTCGGCGGACAAATCCGCGTCGCAAACACCACGATCTGCGGGCTCTCCGGGACAACGCTTCCCGCCGTTGTCACGCGTCTCGAGCATTGGCGCGAGGACAATCCATGCCGGCAAAAATCGAAGCCAGAATTTCCTCGAAGCGCTCGGCCCGCGCCCTGTCGGTGCATTCCACGGCCGCTCCCAGCCGGAACCCGGATCCCGGCAAGGGTGTCGACGCCGAAGACCCGGACCCGGATACGGTGGACTACGTGGCGCTGTGCGCGCCCACCCAGCCGGTGATCCACCGCGGCTTCCTCTACCGCCGCGCGCCGGCACTGGACACGCCCGAGCACCTGGCCTACGCCTGCGCGCACGGGGCGCGCCGCCGGGAGGCGTGTCAGGGCGGCCTGTACATGGCCCGGGGGGAGCCGCAGCGTCCGGTGCGGATCCCGCACTGCCATCGTCCCAATTACGTGCGCTGCTTCGATTTGTACCTGCAGGAAGCGGCGCTGCGGCATCTACGCGAGCAGGTCCTGGCAGCGGACAATCCGCGCAAGGGATACCAGGATTTCTACGGCCTGGACCGGGAGCTGGCCAAACTGCTGCCCACCTGGTCGGCCTTTCAAAAGCATTACCGCGCGGAGCTGAAGGCGGCCAAGGAGCGCAAGTGTCGTGGTGTACATGCGTGATGATTCACGTATTATAATGTATACTTCGAATGCTGCCTTATATGGGCTCCCCTTATATTACTCTCCCTTATCTGGGCTCCCCAGCAATATGAGCAACCCTCTACACGGGCGGTTACGTTATTACTCACACTTTCGCAGCTGTTATCAGTGTTATGCTTGACTGAAAATTTTGATTTATTTAAAATACTTATTTTACCAGTACTTTTGTAGCATTTAGTTTGTTTCAAAGTGCTCAGGTTGCATCAACGACAGATTCAAATCTTTTCTAAAATTCAAAATCTTTCTAAATTCAAATTCTTTCTAAACGTTGCCCGCTTAAATGCATTAAGAACCCCATGAAAAAATAATGTGATATGAAATTTTGGCATTTTTGATTTTTCAGTTTGTTCATTGGCAAATCCGATTAAAATTAATGAAAAAAATTATTGTATAGATAATATATATAAATATAATTCGGATGTGAAATTTCGGAATTCTTTGGCGTGCTCACTTGTAAATCCGGTTGAAAGAAGTAGAAAAGGGTTCTGCTATAAATCCGATAAATTTAATTTGACGGGTATTGCTAACTAGCCGGGAGCCCAGATAAGGGAGAGTAATATAAGGGGAGCCCATATAAGGCAGCATTCGAAGTACTGTATATGGGTGCTGCAAGCTGATGCAATATTCTATCGATACTTCTATATGTTGCACGGATGCAATATTCTGATACAAGCTGTGTATATATCGCTATAGAAACTTGGCGCTCTGCGTAGCGCAAGTTAGAGTTATCCAGAGTTTACCATAGTAACGTATACTGTACTCTGTACTCTTATAAACTAACGTCTTTCAAGTGAACATAAAATTTATACCGGCAGTACAAGTACATGTGTCCGACTGTCCGTGTATCGTCTACTCAGTACACACATAATTATGTATCTTTAAGTCAACAATAATTGTTGTTAAATTAATGTCGTTTACTATGGAGTGTAGCCCTCTTTAAGCTAAAAGTTATAAAACGATAGAAGAAAAGATTACTTCACAGACGAAATGTTTATACAGACCCAACTGATGGCCATTAAGTAAACTTAGTAAAGACCAAAATTTGCAGAAATAACATACAATTTAGCGTACTTCTAGTTACAGCTGCTGATCTATCACTTTCAGAGTGTTGTTGAGATGCCCTCTCGGCTTATCTTTCATGACGTCAAGCGGATGATTTCGGGAGATCAGAAAGTCATAAAATCGAAAATTCGCTGAATAATTCGTCATAAGTGAAAAATCACGGTGCCTATAGCTTGAGAATTTGTTTTTGGAAAGAATACTTTTCTACATGTACAGTATATACACTAACAGCAACAGGTGTCAAAAGAATCAAGCAATTCCCAAAAACTTCCACTAGTGTACTGCATCTTTATTTTCACCGCTCTTTACTTACATTAGCGACTAGCGTCAGCACGGCGTAAAGCAATCGAATCGGCTTACTACGGCGACAGTCTGACAGATACCGGAAATACGAGACAACTCAACACTAAGCGATTCATCAGCGACAACCAAACAGGTACCTACCTATTACGTAGGTATATGTACGAGGAACAGAATTCACGCCAATTTCACGATGATCACGCATACTGTATCTGTACGTCTGTCCAACCATTTGTAATGCCCGTATAAGTTCATAACCATTCTGTAATGTTAATTCTGTAATGTTGTGGCAGCATCAACGAACACCGGGGTTCGTCGATGCCTGTATGTAGCACACTGGGGCTAGGTATATACCTAATGCCCATTACAGTCTTCCAAATCCGACTCCTTCTCCTGATTCACAATTCATTTTCTGTATTGGCTCTCATAATCATAATCATACTTATGATTATGTGAACATTAGGCAACCGATAGAACAGTTACAGAACAGCAGTAAACCGCGGCGAACAGTAATTAACGGTGGTAAACCGGGAAAAGCACGGCTTCTTCTCTTCTAAATCCACGTCGTACGTTGTACCGATAAACTCTTCGGATCCATCAAATAATTTCCTGCAACAGACAACAGATTACCCAGTTTCCAACGGTGAAGGGCGTTATGTACGCTGCTCACCGATGAAGCTGTTGTTGCGAGCCAAGTGATTACTTAAAACAGCAAGGACACTAACATCCCAGTCTGGTGGTGCCTGGTTCCACAAGGACTGATACGTTGCGATCACGCTTCCCGCTCTGATAACGTGCAACAAACGAAGCTTTAATCATCGGCAAATGCAATAATAAACAAGCAACATAAGTGCCGAATATTGAGCATACCGGAAAGCGCCAGTCTGGCGTCCACCCGGTTTATTACACGTCACCATAATTACGAGTATATGATCATGTATACGAGTTACACTATATTGTAACGCGGGCGGTTATGCCGGCGTTCTAACGGGTTGGCGTGTTGACCGTACCACGATGTTGTGTCGGCTGTTGGGATGAAAGGTTGGCACGGCCGGCGACGATGCTGGCCGAAGACGCTCTTACTGACGTCACACAATTACTGAACGTAACAACGGAAGTTCACGGCATGTTTAATGACAAGAACAATGCAAGACAGGGACAAGGTTTGGGCAAGAGTTTAACAAGCTGAACAAGCTGATGCAAGCTGTAACAAGTGAATGCAAGAGTGAATTCTAGAAATTATGAAGAAGAACAGCTAGCCGGGAAAATGGACAGAAATTCGTAACGCAATGATGGATCATAACTTGGTGGTCTATGGTTGTACAACTTCTGTCGCTACAATATGGAGTGCACGCCAGCTTTTCACATGTTTCTACGTAAATCAGTTTATAGTACAGTTACTACGATCGACACGCTGCAAGAGCGGGCAGTAGTGCATGCGATAATAGCCAGTTACGCTGTCAGAAACGGCGACAAGGTGCCCTGAGGTATGCCTCGGCGCTGATAATCCTCGAAGAACGCGTACTGCCACCGGCAACGTTGCACGATGCGTGTTACAATTGAATTCAGTCGATTTCTTCTATCTCAAAGGTTTTCATAGGTTTTGTGAAGTTGTCTTTACGCCGGTAACGACGAAGTCGGTGACCTTTTAGTCGACCGTTGCGTCTATACAGATGCCAAGGTGACCACGTCGCCATGACGGCAGGCACGCCGTAAAGAAAACTCTCCCGCAACTGAATATCGGCGCACAGTAACATTAACCAACTTTAACGTGAAGGTATTATACAGTTGACCTTTATGTGTTTTTGTATAGCACATTTAAATTACAAAATATTAACTTTTCTCCTTTACAATTACATGTGCCCTTAACTAATGAGAGAGGATGTTGTTCAAGATGTTCACGATGTGTACAAACACCTGGCGTGAGTAATATACCGTTTTTTAGTACTGCAGTATTGCTGCTTGCGCTAATGCATGATTTAATGCCAATCCCAGTGCTGTGACCTTTTCTCAATGATACACGTCGTCAAAAACAGTTCAAACACTGCTGCCTGACTGACGTTATATGGTACGTAATAACTCGGCGCTCTGATTTGGGCAATTAGGATTAGAACATGCGTCCGTCTGGTCTGCGGTATTAATCCGGGCGTCACGAACTAACTCCGGGAGGGCTGTAATAGCCATCCTCTGCTCGGGTTAATCGAGCATGTCGGGCGCGAGGAGGCCGCGGGTTTCCGGTTCCGGGTAGACGGTGACGCCGGCGATGGGCTGGCTATCCAGGGAATTATTCATTTCCTCCACGGCCTTCTTCCGCTGGATGTGCGCGGCACCGGCGCTCTTCTTCGTAAAGGTCACTTCGTAGTTGACAATGTGCTGCTTCCCCCTCATTTCCTCTTTGACAAATTTAATGCTGGTCGCCGTGCGCGCAAACTTCTGCGCTGCAGCGTTAATAAAATAAGTCCAAAAAGTCAAAATCAATCTTATGTTGTTAAACATTCGTATTAATATTAATATTAATATTGTTGATATATACTGTATATTATAAATATTAGTAGTAATAAAATAGTATTAACTGGCATATTGAACTATGCGGCTTACCGAGAATGGATTTCCAGCGGGTAAGAAGCAGCTGCAGTTTGGCGCCGCGATCCTTCTCCGTCTTGTACTCCATCATCACCGTGTGCTTCATGCTCTTCAGCACTGTACATACACAACAAACACGCCCACATCATCAATCATACGAGTATGGATTATTTGATAATATTTTAAGGAATTTATTCTCCATTGCATTAATTTCTTTGCAATTGTCTACAGTACATAGAGATCGTTACTGGAATGCTCTTGATTATAGGTATTTGCGACAGTGGGCGTGGCGAGTACGGTAAATAGTCGCTATATACTTTGGCCCGCCCACTGTCACCAAACAGCGGCCATTGGCCGACCTGTCCTCTTCTGATTGGCTACCGCCCTTCAGTCGCCTGCGCCACCGCCCCACGCTGTTGATTCCACGTACCTTGGCCCTGTGGTCGGCCGGGGAGTTTCTCCAGCGCCGCGTCCTCGCCGATCATCAGCAGGAGCAGCGTAACGACGCACAGCAGTCCCAGATATAAGCGGGCCATGATATTAGATATTAGTATATGACTGGTATAGATAACCGAACGCAACGCACCCACATACAGTTATACAGTAGGGAAGCCTACGCGACAAAGAAGGGGGGAATTATGCAGCTGGAAACATGCAGTTATGTATTACCGGTTTACTATCAATTCGCGCCGCTTGCGGGCTCACGCGTGGTATACTTGTGTAGTTGAGTTTTTCTGTGACAGCGACTGAATTTTTCGCCGCAGCCGGTACTAGCATTCCACACTGTAGTGATATCATAATTTATAGAGGAATCGCCCGCAGTCACCGCCACCGGTTTTACTTCCTTTTTGTCGCCGCGAAGCTTGTTCAAACTGTACCGCGTTCCCCGCCGAAAAACGCTGGAAATATGAATAAATACAGTAGTATTTTGTCGATTTTATAGACATGCTGTAAACGCTGATTACGTAAAAGCACCGCGTATTTGTCCGGTGTTTTGTGATTGGTTACAACGGAACGGTGGGCGGAGACGGGCGCTGTCGGCACAAACCATCAGCGAACCGCTTTTACACGCGAATTACTCACTACAACGAACAGCTGACGCCATTTATTTTATTTATTCAGTTGTATAATTTGTATTTTAAGAATACATCTAGTATAGGTACTACAGGATCATAGAAAACATTAGTCGTTTCTTCAAACGATCACCAACACATTGTGCGAATTATGATGACCTTTCTCTAGATTAGTGTATATGTGCAAAATGCCACTTTTCTCTATCACAATGCCAGTCAATCAAATGGTCATTTTCTACTGTTTGGCAGCCGCTGCTATGGCCGCAGCGGCCGACGTGGAGCGTCCCTCCGTGAACCGATGCACCAGCCGCGCGCCGAGCCCTTCGCGCGTGTCCTCCCGGCGGACGAAGCCGTTGGCGTGCGGCCACAACGGCCGCACAATCAACTGCATAAACCGTTCCCGGAACTGCGCATTCGTCAGTATGTAGACGAAAAACCGGAAGCTGTACAGCATGTACATGGGGACGTTGACGAACGGCGCCGCCAGCTGCTGGGCGGTCGGATCGAAATCAAACTGCTGGTGGTAGTCGGCGCGCATCAGGCAGTGGAAGACGACGGAGGGCGTCTTCGTCAGCAGGTACAGCGCGGCGCCGCTGATTAATATGATGTCGCTGTTGCGCGCCGCCGCCCGCGGGCCGCGCTTTCCCGACTGCAAAGATGCCGCTGGGGAGATGGGCGGTTTGTTCGCAATTTGTTTGACGCGCATCTGCGCCAGCTTGGAGCGGCGGTGGCGCGCCAGGAAGACGATGAGCGCCACGTTGATGGTTAGGATGACGAAGAAGACCAGCAGACTGACCACCACTTCCGCCGGGTTCTGCACCTGCTCCCAATGGCGCAACCAGGCCGGGCGCTTGGCGCGGGCTTTGTACAGGTCGTACTTGAAGATTCTGCAATGTGTCGTTATACACCGATCGTAATTACTGAATGTAGTTAAAGGTCACTTTATAAACGTGTAATACAAAATTATTCTTACATGTATATATATAAAATATACACATAACACAAATAAAAAAAACTTATATACATGTACATGTATATTTATATATCAATTACACACACATGTACATATATAAAGTATTGAATAATAAAAGGTCCATAAATAATAAAAGGTCCATAAATGTATATAAGTGTATATAAGTAAGTACATGTACATTTATATATAAATTACACACACATGTACATATATAAAGTACTGAATAATAAAGGTCCATAAATAAAAAATTAATATATATAGACGTATACATGTCTTTATATCTTTTCTTTATATTCATACAAGCTTACCGACCAAAGCGTATTTATGCGCCGTTTTTAACTCCTCGATAACTCGTGGTCAGTTTAAGTCCAGCTTGGTCTTAAAAAATCCATATTTTCCATAGGTGTGCCAATAGATTTTGTTTGTTTTAATAACCAGTGGTCAGAAGATGGTTTCACCAGGTCTTAAGTATAGGAAACGTAGAGCACTCAAAAACGTATTCACTGCACAGCAATAAAACGTGCTTTAAAACATAATGTCTGTAACCACGGAGACTATAGCGGATGCATAAATACTTGCTCTTTAGGTAAAATTATATATTATTACGTCATGCAAAAGTCCATACGTATTTCAGAGCGTCAAAACGTCAGAAATTCAATACGTGTGAACGTCAGAACGTAACACCGTCAGAACGTCATAAAGTAAGAACATCGGAACGTCAGAACGTTAGAACGTCAGAACGCCAGAACGTCAGAACGTCATAAAATAAGAACATCAGAACGTTTAGGACGTCAGAATGTTAGAACGTCAGAACGTTAGAACTATAGAACGTCATAACGTCAGAAGGTCAAAACGTCATAAAGTAAGAACATCAGAACGTTTAGGACGTCAGAATGTTAGAACGTCAGAACGTTAGAACTATAGAACGTCATAACGTCAGAAGGTCAAAACGTCATAAAGTAAGAACATCAGAACGTCAGACTGTTAGAACGTCAGAACGTTAGAACGTCAGAACGTCATAAAGTAAGAACGTCAAAACGTTAGAACGTCATAAAGTAAGAACATCAGAACGTTAGAACGTTAGAACGTTAGAACGTCAGAACGTCAGAATGTTAGAACGTCAGAACATCAGAACGTTAGAACGGAAGAACGTCAAAACGTTAGGACGTTAGAACGTCAGAACGTTAGAATGTCAGAACATCAGAACTTCAGAACGTGAAAAATTAAAATTGTCCGAACGTCGTAAATTCCAAACGTCAGCCTTTATATATTCATAATGACCTTTCCGAAACAAAGCCAATACTATCCAGTACTTAAGTGCCGAGCGCGGATGCGCGAGACCTTTATATTCATACAAGCTTACCGACCAAAGCGTATTTATGCGCCGTTTTTAACTCCTCGATAACTCGTGGTCAGTTTAAGTCCAGCTTGGTCTTAAAAAATTCCATATTTTCCATAGGTGTGCCAATAGATTTTTGTTTGTTTTTAATAACCAGTGGTCAGAAGATGGTTTCACCAGGTCTTAAGTATAGGAAACGTAAAGAGCACCCGAACAAGTACTATTCACTGCACAGCAATAAAAAGTACTTACGATTAACATAACGACTGTAACCACGGTGACTATAGCGGATAAATACTTGCTTTTTAGGTAAAATATGTATATTACGTCATGCAAAAGCCCATACGTCAGAAATTCAAAACGTGAGAACGTCAGAACGTATCACAGTTAGAACGCTGGAACGTTAGAACGTCCGAACGCCAGAACGTCTAAACCTTAGGACGTTAGAGCGTCAAAACGTTAGAACGTCTAAACGTCAGGACGTTAGAACTAGTGCCCTGCAACGTACGGAGTACAAAACTGCGTCCAGTCCGATCCAAACTTAAAAAATTTTATCCGAACCCAGTCCGACTTCGAATTCTAAAAATCTTACTCCGACCAATCCGATCCGAAAATATTTTTGGCCAATCCGAACCCACTCCGATCCGATCCGAAAAATTTTCCAAGAAAATATTACTTAATTTTATTTCACAGTAGTTATACCGTAACATGGCATTCAAAAAATTTTTAGCCATGTTGTCGGTAGCAAAAACTTCAGAATTCACAAGTACAATTTTCTTGGGCATAATAAAGGTTAAGCTAGAGGATTTACATATATATACAGAATTTTTTAGGTAAATTTAGTTTTTTAGCAATACAGTGTTGAAGCACTTGGAGAGTTTAGCTATCTATCCTCACTGTCAGAAATCTGTATGGGATCTTTTTGTTGTATACGCCTACTATGCGGTTCAGCCCACGGATTACCCACGTATTAGCCAGGGTCAAAATAGGGAGAGAAAATTAAAGGGAGGGATGTTTCTACACGTCCGCAACCAAAATAAATGGTAGGTTCATGCATTCCTTAGGTTTAGTTAAACGTATATATATTATGATATTATTTTATTATTATTGTATATGTTATTATTGTATATTTTATTATTATTATCTTAATCTCCAGTATTAATCCCATTACTAGTGCTGCAAATAAAAATGGGAAACCGGTCCCAAGGGAAACTGACTGAGCCGCACAACACATGTAGTCCGTTTAACCGAAGTATCTGTAGTTATACTAAAATTATTTGATAAGACGATAACAATTAATAACGACATCATAAAATTGTAAAACACTCTAAATATTAAAAAGTGTCAGGAGAATTAATAAAAGAAAGTGAAAGAGAATTAACAACAGTCAGCTAAACAAAAGCAGACACTTTGGTGTCAACGTATTTAGCGCAAATCTAAGCCTCGCGCGAAGCGCGAAGCGCGAAGCTGACGAAGTTTTTTGTTTTAAAGGCGGGTGAAATTCAATAAAAATTAATTAATAACATTTATTTTAATTACGGATTATTCGGAGTCTTGATTGCATCCGAACCCGATCCGATTAGGTGCACATAAACTCCGAAACCACTCCGAATCCGAATTTTCCATATTGAAATCCGTCCAATCCGGTCCGAAAATCGGAGCGGGTTCGGAGCGGATCGGATTTCCCAGTCCGTAGCAGGGCTCTAGTTAGAACGTCAAAACGTCCGAACGTCCGAACGTCAGAACGTCATAACGTAAGAACATCATAAAGTAAGAACATTAGAACGTCTAAACGTTATGACGTTAGAGCGTCAAAACGTTAGGACATTAGAACGTTAGAAAGTCAGAACGTCAATACGTTAGAACGTCATAAAGAAGAACGTCAGAACGTTAAAATGTGACAACGCCATAAAGTAAGAACATCAGAACGCCAGAACGTAACAACGTCAGAACGTTAGAACGTTAGAACGTCAATACGTTAGAACGTCAGAACGTCATAAAGTAAGAACATCAGAACGTTATAAAGTAAAAACATCAGAACGTGACAACGTCAGAACGTCAAAACGATAGGACGTCAGAACGTCATAAAGTAAAAGAACACCAGAAGGTCAGAACGTAACAACGTCAGAACGTCAAAACCTTAGGACGTTAGAACGTTAGAACGTCAGAACATCAGAACTTTAGAACGTGGAAAATTAAAATTTTCAGAAAGTCAGAAATTCCGAACGTCAGTCTTTATTAATAGATAATGAATGACCTTTCCAAAACAAAGCCAATACTATCCAGTACCTAAGTGCCGAGCGCGGATGCGCGAGGCTAACTTGTATATAAATAAATATACGCATATGTACTGCACATATATATAAAGTTTGATTAGCAAAAGGTCACTAGACGTACATAAAAATATATATAGACGTATACATGTATATAAATAAATATACGCATATGTACTGCACATACGTACATATATATAAAGTTTGATTAGCAAAAGGTCACGAGACGTACATAAAATATATATGCAGGCCACGATATACGCAAGAACGCCACTGATGATATAAGAAGATTCGCTGCAGCAAGCGGAACGGACTGATGATGATGAGCAAACGCTCCAACGAGAACATCACCAGCAGCCTGAAAAAAAATAATTCAATATAAATATACTTATGTTGTATATATGCACCGACCAGTCGGAGGTGAACATGCAGGCCTCCTGGCCCCAGCCGGTCAGCGGTTTGACGGCGTTGATGACCTGCTTAACCCGCGGCAGTTTGTGGTAGGCCCGGTCGAAGACGGCGCCGAAATTCCACAGCATCACCGGAAATCCCAACCAGCTGCAGCACAACGCATCGCTTCATTCACACCCGCTCTCTGATCAACACACAACTTCCGGTCAACTTACAGAGCTCCCAGATCGGCCAGCGCCGTCACCTGCCGGAGAGGAACGAGATTCTGGATTAATCATACCTCGCTAATTAATATTAGTTCAACTAAAAAAATATACTAATCCAGAAAAATTAAAATAAATACTTCGAAGTATAGAAAAATATTGAAAGATTTATGAAGAAACATTCTATGATAACTACATAAATTAAAATGGAAGAAGAAAAATACATAATAGTAAATTTTAATAATAAATAATATTTACTAATAATTTCAACAGTAATTGTTTTCAATTAATTTACTAATAAATACATAGTAACGTAACTGACCAGCATGTAGCGGGAGGCGGACGTCTGCCACTGCCGGAGGCTCCGTCCAATCACCGCCAGGATTAACGTGTTGCCCAAGGAACACAAGAAGAGCAGGAGGAAGTAGGAGACGATGTAGAAGCTGTAGGCGCGGTTGATCTGCGCGTGTGTATACGTGCCGGAATGCGGGACCAGACTGCGCCAGGCCTCGGCCGTGGCGCCGGGATGCGGGTGGACCATCGTGTTCAGCCAGTGCGACGCCTGGCTGAAATTCACCGGAAGGGAAGGTACAACGGAAGAATCGCCGCTACCGTTAACCGGCATAATTTATTCCGCCATGCACTGGAACAAAAAAATGGCACCGGACACTTCCGACACCGGACACCGATGAGGCAGTTACGTGAAATTTGCCTTCATTACTCGGAATACTCGCCAAAAATTATACGAACATGTATGTTAACAGAACGCTAATAGGCTTCTGTTTCCCAGATAAAACGCACTTGTTTTCATAATTATGCAGTTAGGATGCTCCAAAAACAGGGTAAAAAAAATCTCACGCCGATATTTTATATAAGACGAACGAGAAACGGGAAATAATAGCCCGATATTCAGAATAGAATTTGTAGGACTTGGTTATTATCAGGAGAGGAGAATTGTGCATTCAAAAAAAAGTCAGAATGCTTAATCGTTTGCCCGCAGGGAGTACTGAACAGCAAGCGCCCGCAGGTCATCGTAGCACCGTGAAACATGCTCCAGCGCACGTTAAAAACACACACTGGCTCATAATGATCTCGTCCTTCCACTTTTCACTGTACGTACTCGTATATCCGCCACTTCATTTTCCACCTGATTAATGGTGTACTCTCCCCAAAATTGACTGATTTTTAACTCCAAAGGATAATGCAAGTACTCCCCTGAAAAAAAAGCGGCAAAAAACACGAATTATCCTGTAATCGAATTCTGGAAGAGTTTTCGTAGGTATGGGCCCTACCTAGCTGCTCTGAACTGAAATTATTAGACGTTTAACTAAACCCTAAGTGCTTACTGTACATATGTACCGCACGTACATACTGGCACTCATAATAAATTATTCTTGGTACTAATTTTTCTACCGCTTACAATCAACTGTATTGTACCGGTGTTCTGCAATGGTGCTGTGCAGTCTGTAGTGAACTTATTATCAGGTAGATGTTACGATACAATGATGACATTGAATATTATTAAAGTGCTGTTCGAGTACAGAATGCATATGTATGTATGTACTACCTGTATGTAGGAATAATAAGTAAAATCATTTAAAAATTAATACTACACTGCTGTGGCAGCGTTAGGATCGTCATCCGCACGAGCCACTCCTGGATGCTGTTAAGGTGCTGCCGGAACCAGCATTCAACCGACCCATCGTTATCGCCGGGCGATATGGAGAGAAGTTGTCGATTAACGATGACAAACTCCCCTCGGAGGTGCCCATCGGAGGAGAGGGAGAGCCAATCGGATTTGGGATGGAGGAGCCTGACGCTCCTCGATCCCGGGTATCATTAAGAGCAAATGGATCCACTTGCTGCTAATGAGACCCGGGATCGAGGGGCGTCAGGCCGGGTGCCGGTACGGCGCAGCGGAGGGGCCCGGGGCAGTGCGTCTCGTATGAAAGTTATCGGAGAGTCGACTATGGAAATGCGGCTAAAGCGTCTTCTGGATAAAAATCTTGCTATGAATCCTAAACTTCTCGAAGCTAGTCCTTCTTGTAAATTTCTACTCAGACCTGTTAATCTCTCCTAAATGTTTTGGTTAACAGAAAATTGTTTGTGTCAGACTCGAAGTCCCTTCGGGGTTGTCTGCTCTTGTGCCGTAATAACAATAATAATAATGACGCGAACTCATATTATGAGTGACCATATCTTTGTCGATGCGCGGAGGGATCGACTAGCGAATCGAGCAGGGAACATTAACACGTTAACGCGTGTCAATGTTCCGTGCTCGATGCGCTTACCCACCCGCGGTGGCGTTGACCAAAGGAGCAGCTGACGGCTGGAAGACATTGCTTTTGCCGCGTGATCATCAAGGGCAGCAGCAGAAAGTGCGCAGTTTCTACTGCTGTCCTTAATTATCAAGTATTTTTCTGACAGTGATCGGCATTACATCTGGTTTAGTGCTTGTACTCACGGCGGTCGCTTGGTGACCTTTGACGTATTGGGGGGCAAACACCAGGCATATATTCCCGCATGCGTTTCCTACTGTACAAGTAGAAGCCATAACTACCAACAGTATTTTCTCCACGCGCACTGCTGCAGTTTGCTCCATTACACGAAACAACCTAATTATAACGCTGCAAAACAGAACAGCGAAGGCGCGGCTTATATACGAGTACTTACATATGGGTAACCAGCTTTGCTTTTTATCTAGTACAATCACAGATTGGCAACTTTGATATTCTTCTTCAATAAGAAAAAAGAGTTGGGGACATGCTGCATCCGCTGGGAAAGGTACACAGCCTTAAGACACGGTGTGATTTTCCAAAAAATTCAGCTTTTTTAAGATGATTTTCTTGCGTATCTATGGTACAATTTTTGGCTGCTTGACAGTTCGCAACAACAAGTGCCATTTTGACATGTAGAAGTAGCTAAGACCTTGCTCTTTCCGAAACAAGATGGAACCGGATAAGGTTCTAAAGCGGGACTCAGAAGTTAAAAGGTAAAAGCATGCTTGCGTATCTCACCAGAATCACACGGGCGACGCCTCAGTTATTCCGCTGTTGTAAGCAGCGAGCTTCTATGCAAATACAACGGGGAAACGCGATTTGTGTAATGGGTACGATCCCCGATCAGGATAGCACAGAGGAAGTGTTTCTTTTGTAAATGCTGTTTTGTTCTGGTGCATAGTCTGTACTCGTACCATGATACTTATTAAAGGTTATCGAAGTTATTCCGTGTACTGGCCAGACACGGTCGTTATATATAATGCACTTCCTTCCAGTAGAACGAGAACAGATAGCCTTTACCCGCAACTTGTAACATCACGGCACCTCTACACGCCAAAGCCCAAAGGCCAGGTTGGCGCGTGCTTCGAATTAACCGATCAGCGGCACCGTGCATGCTGGGCAAAGATCGGTGCGCGCGACGCGGCGATAAGGGCCCGGGGAAAAAAAAAACAAGTGTCAGGACAGCGGTATGGCCACGGTGTCTGCGCGTGCCTAAGCAGGACGTTAGAAAGATTATCGTATCGCTGGCATCGGCATCAGCGCGGATTTCCTGTAATACTCGTCGTCAGACTGTAATACAGTATATAATTATAACGAAATGCGCATCAGCGACCGTAATCCAGATACTGTTAGTTTCTTACTGTTAGATACTATTAGATATTGTTAGTATCTTGCTTTCGTGTACATTGTAAATATCTCCATTCGAATATTATTAATGTGATTCTTTAACATTGGATTGTTAGCAAGGTTGGCAGGAAAGTTTATTGGCTGGCACTTGGGACGGCTGAAAAGCTTTGGCCGAAATGAAAACGGCCAAAGTGATCGGTAGCCATCCGGCGGCTTCTGACCCGAAAGGTCACAAGAGTTTCGATTCACGTTTTCCCGCTGTACTGCTGCAATATTCATCGCGCAATACGTACACGCGTAGTGGTCGTTGTTATCTAGAAGCGGCTCACGTACAGCGATATAAAGTCTTTCATAGGATTTCAGACATGATTCAGAAAGCTGGGTTAAATTATCCGCTGCAAAGGCACCCGAGCCGTACGATATCTGCAGGCGAGAAGTTAAAGCGGTGCCGGTGGAGGACAGCGCCGATTCACAGCGCATCGCGAATCGTATCGTGCCCACGACTAAACTGGTAACCCGGACAGCTTACCAGTTCAGTGGCGTGTACGACACTTTCTGCTGCTGCTCAGGATCCCGCCAACCCATTAAGGGAAGTGGCCCGGTACGTGCTACCGAATTCGTGTACATGCACGAAAACTTACACTTTCGCGCACTCCCAAACACATTTTTGTTTCGGTTTATGACATTTCGTAGCCAGACGATTTGTATACACTGGTGTGAAAACCGTTTGTGCGCGCAACATCCGGTTCGGGAGTTATGGCTGTAAGAAAATTCCCAAAAGTTTAAACGCATTCAGGTGTACCAAAAGTCTCATTATAAACCGATCTCCTTCAAGTTTTGCACGTAAATGCACCTGGCCTACCAGGTCTTACGGTAGCTACTAGCTACCGAAGGTGATGCTCGGCAGCCGGACGGAATGCTATGCTGGTCGCGCGATGCCCAGTGTATGGAATGCGCATACCCTGGCCGCAGACTGAAGTTCCTTCGATGCATTTCCTCGGTATTTACCAGTGTTAGCAGGCATGCAGCCATTTTCGATAGAATTATTCTATTAGCTCTCTGGTTATATTGCGTGCCATTGCCATGCGACAATGAACTGTCTAATTTTCCACTATTATACTGATTGTTAACATACTCCAACCGGATCGTTTATTACCATTCTCATATTCGTACCGACATTAGTCCGGCAAACATCCATAAAAAACCATTATGCTATCGGCTTGCACAATCACCAGTGAACCGGACGCACAGGTAAAGGTCACCGGCAGACCGCCCGCGAATACAAAACCAGCCGGCTGCGACGACATAGTAAATACAAAAAAAGGAGCTAAACAACAACAAAATCGAGGAAACCGTACACAAATCCCGTACACAATACCTTCACCGTGTTCAAAAACATCCGTCACACATTGTTACCCGGAAATCACTCATCCGGCATGTTTTCCACCGGCATTCCGAAGACCTTGAAGCGGTAGACACAGGTGAAGTGCGGATGGCCGTGGTTGGCCAGCACCCGCAACTCCACAATCGCCACGGCGCGATCCAGTGGTTGCTGGACCGGAAAATGCTGACTGGGCCGCAGAGGGGATAAAACGTAGGTGTAGTTGCCCAGCAACACGCCGTCTTCGTCGTTCTCATCGGCCAACGCCCACACTTCAAAGTGGGAGGGCGCGGAGGTCAGGCGGGAGGGCGGGACGCTGCGGCTGCTCAAGTGCGACAGCGAGAAGGCGCTGATGTCCACCGGCTCGGCTAGCTGGATCACCAGTCTTCCAGGAAATCCCTAAATAATTTCTTGATAATTATCAGCAATTTCTGCATTATTTATTCATTTATCTGCATTTTTCGCCGTATTTTTTTAGTCAAATTTTAGATTGAATTTCTCCATTTGTACAAATTATTTTCGCAATATTTTTATTTAATTTCTGCTAATATCTGCGGTACATTGACTCACATTTTTAATTTTTATTATTTATATGCAAGTATTGGGAAATTTCATTGATATTTGTGATTATTTTTAGTGATTATTTTCTTTATTTTTCTGTGTATTTTTGTGGTATTTATTTTCTTACCTGGAAGCGCCAGCAGCGTCCGGGGACGATGAGGGGAAGTAGTGGCGCTTCCTGTAGGGAATTCCACTCGCTCTCCTGGTACACCGTGAAGCCGAGGATCTTGGCGTCGAACACGGTCAACGGCTGCGTGTCGCGGGTGCTCAGCACACGGGCGCCCAACGACAGCAGCGCGTAATCGAAGGCAATCTGCGGCTCCGGCGGGTTCAGCGCCCCGGACGGGTCGGGACTGCCCACCGCATCGTCGTCTACCACAAAACTCACATCCCGGAAATTGCTCACTTGAACTATTATTATGCAAAAAATTTAAAAATAAAATAGCGAATTAAATACGAATTTAATTGTGATTAAAAGCAGGTTAATAAGGCAGAATGCAGCAAACCACCGTCGACAAATTCCAGTAACGCGTGCTGCCAAAAAATAATAATCACAAAAAAATCAGATGATTTATTACGGCTGTGCCAATCAGTAAATTAATTTCAATTTCGATTGAACTTAAATAAATTTCAAAATTTTTAAAAATTTCAAAATTAAATTAAATTTTTATGTTTAATTCAATTAAATTTCCCCGAGGGTTTAAAAATAAATTCTAAAAATATTACAAATAACAAGCAGAAAATTATCACCTTTTCTCGGGTTGATCTCCGTGTTGGGAGACGGCGTATTCTGCGCGCACGGCAGCCCAACGCGTGGCATCCACTGTCCTTCTATGAGCGCTGTGGGCGCCGGCGCCGGGCGTAAATTAATGTAGACGACGGCCAGGACGAAGCCGAAGAGCGCGGCCGCCACCAGCGCCACCTTCACTTGCCAACTGGTCAGCACGAAGAAATCACCGGACTGGGATGCGCGCCTCACCCCGCCCGCGGGACGGGGAGGGAACGCGGCCCCCTGCGGGGCGGAGGCCGGCCGGAAGGGGCTCATGGTCGCGGGACCGCGAGTCGTCACAGTGGGGGCCGATAAGGGCGTCTTGCGGCGGTGGAAGATGCTCGTCGGGCTGGCCATCACGCGTTCACCTATTTTTAACCAATTAATAATAATTACTTTTTATTAATCAATTTTTTTCTCGTTATTTTTCGGTTACTTATAACTTTATTTAAATTCATTGGCCTTAATTTAAAAAATTAATAAATAAAAACTGCATTAAATAAAACTAATCTCAATTGTGCGACAGGCTGTTAATAATTTATTTGAAATAATAATGAATAAAACCAGAAAAGCTACAAATAAGGGCAGTACTTTTAATTGATAAACTGTTTATTATTTTTCCATTAAAGATAAACCTTATCAGCCGCTTTAATATTTAAAAGTTATTAACCTGAATTTACTGGAAATTTATTATAATTATCTAACCAGTTATAAATAATTTATTGCAATTAAATATGAATAATATTAGAATAAATACAGAAAAAATGGCACTGACTGTAGAAGGAGGGCGGGGCGGGCGGAAGGTGTCGCGGACCGTGATTACTGGAGCCGGAGACGGAGGAGGCCTCCGCCAGGCTGGCCGCATCGGGGGACGGCGCCGGGTCGGGGAGGGAGGAGGCCTGCGAGTAGCAGGAGACCTGCGGCGACGCTGCGGCCTCCGAGGCTGCGCGCGGGTCAGGCTCGGCCTGGCTCTCCGCGGACACGGCCAGCACGCAGCGCGACTGCGACAGGGAGCGGGTGATGCGGCGCAGATCCATCTGCAGCGCGGGATCAGGCGGGAGAGGGGGTGCGGATGAGGGATCGGCGGGAATGACGGTGTGGGAGCGGCGGGAGCGGACGGCCGCGGCTGAGTTCGCGACTGGACGTTTCATCGTACAATAACACAGCACGGATAGATAACGATACAGGGAAGCGGCGGCCTTACGCCGAGTATGCAGCACTCATGGTAAAGCCTGTCCCAATACGATCAACAAATTTACGGTTACAACGCAAAAACCAAAAAAACGAAAAAATCTGGGTATTTGTAATTGGCTCGACGAAATTGAACGGGATTTTCGAACACAAAAACCGTGACTGGCAACTGATGACTCATGTTGGAAATATTGACGTGAACCGTCGGTTCATAGAAAAACCCGTCCGAATAAACCGATTATCAGCTGCCTACATTAGTTAACATTGTAAAATCGGTCGGCTCGCGGGTCGGTCTGCGTTACTGAGCGCTTCCGAGCTGTTGACTTGAATTTTGACAGGAACCGTCGGGTGTCGGTTCGGAAACCGTCCGATACGTGTTTCATTTTAGTGATTTTACTGTTTAGCGTTTCCAGCATTGAAATATCGGTCGGCTCGTGGTTCGGTCTGCATTATTGCCGAACCATTGGCTATTCGGAGCCGCTGTTGCTGCCCCGCATTTCCGCTGCACAGCATTTTCACGTTTTGAATTGCCAATTTTTTCATGCTAGAAATTCCGAACAATTCTGAATTCTCTGCCTGCTGCCAGTTTTCTGAAAATTTTCTAACAGTTCCACTGTGGAATTTGCTGCTTATTGATAAGGTTATCTCTTGGATTTTGTGGAGACGGAAGATTTGTTGGCGGAGATACTGGCCATTGGAAATCTGATGTTTGTTTGTGCAGCTGGATTAATGTGAGTGCTGCAGCAGCGATTTCGGATTCACAGCGTGAGTGCGACCTGTATCACACAACAGGTTAGCTTTGTTGTCTACTGGTGAGGAAACAATTTGGCAGGAGAATCACAGCGTTTACTGCCAGTGATTGTCAGCAGAAAATGTGCATTTTGCAGGGACCTCTCGACATACCAGCGTAAAGTATCCAAATGTAAATTTGTACTTATCACTGTGCGAGTTAAAACCAGCAAAGTAAACTGTGAATTTTATTAATTTTTGTGTATATACTGTAGAATAATTCATACGATTTATCTATCTGATTGTTAATAAATCATTAAATTTTTATTTATGGAAAATAATACGGACGTATGTCAAACTAATTTCGTTTGGGCTGTGGAATTGTAATTCTGATAATAATTTTGACGGAATATTGGAATAATGACAGTTTGATGTTCCATGCCTCATTTGAAGTCATTTATCTGTTTTAACTTTTATTTTAATTTTTCTCTTGATAAGACAATTATTTTTGACCCAATAACGACGGGTTAACGATCGCATTAACCGATTAATTAACGAGCAAGTAAAAATTTGTAACTCGCACAATTACTATACCTGCTTTATGTCTGATGTTTTCGTAAGTTTAAATTATTTAAATAATATTAAAAATTGCGCCAGTGTTGTTGCTGGCAGATTTTTTACGAATAAAATCTGTTTTTCGTTGCTTTGAATTATTTGCAAATTTGTAAATCATCTGTCAGGTTATCAGGACGATACCGAGATATTTCTGGAATTTTTTTCGAAATGTGCGGAATTTAGAGAAAGTTGCATTGCAGGGTAATGCGAGATTTATTTGGCTGTCTGGGATTTATTTGTCTGGGCCGTTCTCGATAATTCCGGCCTCGATCTCTTCCCGGCGCATTAATGGACCCATTACCATGATCCCCGCTTTTTCCTTCTCCTCCCCGTTGTTTTAAACCCGATCCGCGCGGAGAATGTCGCAGCCATCGCAATCGCGGCTGGTCGATTACTTCGTCGTCGTCGGCTACGATCATGAGAAACGTAAGTCTTTTTTTATTGATTCTCCATCGTTTTGCTTCCCGTAATTGATTGGCATAACAAATTGCCGGTGATTGTGCGCTGTTTTGTCGGCAACGAGCAGAGCTTTCGTTTTTGACCGCGAACAGCGCGAACGCGATCTTTGTTACACTTTCACGCCATTGTCAATGCTGGGCACGTGGTGCAATTCATTTCTCCGCTAATGAGATACTCATCTGCATTTTCACCGACTGCTTCGCCGTTTTTCACTTGATGTTGTTCTTGGCCGCGGGACGTTTGTTGTAGTCCGGTTTTTCTTATTTTATCGCCCGAAGAATAACGAAAATCGCAGTTGAACCGGTTTATTTAGAAAAGGCTTTTCAAGAAAACAAACAGCATTTTTTTGCAAATAAAATGCCAGTTTTAAAATAAAACAACGGTTTTTTTTGCAAACAAAATGTCAGTTTTAAAATAAAATCAGAGAAAATAATTAAAAGTCAATCATAAATTAAATTTAGCAATATTGTAGTGCTGTATAGATAATAACAGAAGATTTATAATAATTAATCTGAATAAATATAACGAGAAATGGAGAGAAAATTCTAACTTAAATTCTGATAAAATTTTCAGTGTAGAATAAATTCTTGAAAATAATCCAAAGTCGATCGTTTATTAATAGCGATTTTGTTAAATTTCTGGATGTTGTATAAAACTATAAATATTATGCAGTATTTTGTAAACTTTGATTTGATCAAAAAATAAATATAACGAGAAATGGGCTAAAAAAATTTCTAATTTAAATTCTAGTTAAATTATCAGCGTAAAATAAATCCTGGAAAATTATTCGAAGGCAATCGTACCATTAGAAGTGATTTTTTTATTTCGAGATGTTGAATAATATTCATGGAATATTTTGTAAACTTTAATTTGGTCAAAAATTGCATAACGTTATGGATGGGAAATTCTTTTTCACATTTGAATAGAATTTTTCCGAACACCACAGCAAATATTACGTGGTGGCTTCCGCTTTTTCACTCAAGCAGAGAAAGCACTCCGTGTATTTTTTTCCGAGTGTTTTTCACGGGCAGTTGACCATGCGGGCGTGATGAGTAAATAACTGGAGTCAATTAATTGCCGGTAATTCGTGCGTATTTGCATAAGGACCGGCCCGGTGTGTACCGCGTCTGCGGTCGTCTGCTGATTAGCGGTTTTATCGGGGGAAGGGAAACTATTTATATTTCTCGAGAGGGGACGTATTAAACTCGGTAATGCGCTGCATAATGTCAAGCAAAAATGTAGCAGTGGAATGCTGTGTTTATGACCCGTCTTGACCTGCACAATCGCTGATTATTCAGATATTCTGTATACACAGTATCTGTGTCACCTTTTCTTTGGGTTGCTTTTATTCTTTTTGCTTGTGCAAATTTTGTGGGCATTTTCGCCGGCAGGCGCGGATGAGAAAATTCTCGGTATATGCTGGAATTTTATTCCGAGGGTTGTTCAGAGTGTAGCATGTGAGAAGAGGACGGGCGTGCTTCAGGGAAAGATTGCAGATTTGATTATCTACTTGAAAACGGGATTAATGGATGATGACGATGGGGTTTTAACGTCATCCGCTCGGCTCTCAGCAGCTGCAATTAATCTCTGGGAAATTGAGAAAAATTACAAAAATACCGATGGATATTAAAAATAGCTTGAATGACATTTAAAGGATAATTAAACAGCATTAGCGGTAGAATTAATTTTCCATCTGCTTCTGAAATTGCTGAAATATTGCTTGTCTTTTTTATTTTAATTATCTGGACTGGAATATTTAATTTACATTTTATAAAACTGATTGCAAGATATTTTTTCACCGCTCTGTATTTTCAGAATTCTGCGTTCAAATTTATGTTGATTAATTTAGTTATTTTTTTAATATTGTCATCCAGTAGACGATTTGTATTTTGTAATTAAGTATTTAATAAGAAAAATGAAAGATGTAATTATTACAACTGACCAGTAACGACAGACCGTTGCAGTATTTTCTATATTTTTTATGTATATATTAATATAAAATGTTTATTAGTGAAAAAAATTGTACTGATTTTTTGCGTTTTGATTTCAATCGTGGTTTTGTTGTTTGTTGTTGTTTGTTCTAAACTTATATAAGTGGGTGTTTGTCTGCGGTTTGTGTTTAAACTGTTTATGCTAATCCAGCGAGGCTTGATGTCGGCTGCGAGCGCAGTCGGGCATTCGAACGAGACGACGGGGATCAAATTACAAATTGTCGAAAAATGTATCTTTTGGCCGCGGCCGCGGATTTCCCTTTCTCCGCCATATGGAGCGATTTTGAAGCCGAGGAAAAGTGATACCGCGGCGGCGGCTAATAATAACGATGAAAGCTAGCTGGTCACTGCGTGGAACGTGTCAGAAACGTCTCGGCTTGACCCAAAAAATAAATGAATGGATAAGGCGATAAGCTGAAGTCAGGCTAAAAATTGCACGCTGACATGCCAAGTTGCCAACGTTTCTTTTGGCATTCAGTAGTGTTCTTGACACGCACTGGAGCGGATTGATTAATGTTTATGGCGGTGGTGAAGCGATCCGTTAGGTGCAATGGGAGCTCCATTCAACCGCGTGATTTCCGGTTGAAAAATGTCGCTTCGGAAAAAAATGGAAAAAACTGGCTATTTTAATAATATAAATTGAAGAATTTATATCTAAAAAATGAATTTAATTAAAATTGAAGTGAAATAATTTTAAATAAAGATTAGGATTGAATAAAAATAAATTGAATAAATATATTTTTGGCTTGTAGTGTTTCCCAACGGAAAAATGTCGCAACGAAAAAAATTAAATGAAAAAATAAAGATTTTTGTATCCAAGTCGAATTAAAAAATCGAAAGTTCAGATTAAAGCATTTCTGGCTTGAAACGAACTTAAGCGGCGATGAAAGCTAAATAAAAATAAACTGATTAAAATTATTTTTGGCTTGCAGTGATTCCCAGTTGAAAAACACCCCTATTAAAGAAATTAAATAAAATGGAATTAAAAATTCGAAAACTCAAATTAAAACCAAATTAAACTGGAGGTAAAGCTAAATAAAATATAAATCATTAAAAAAAATTTGGCGTCCATTTTTGTCTGGCGTTGGTCGATTTAAACCGGCGCGATGGCATGACGCGGCGGGTCCTGATGGGATTTTAATGCGAATGCAATAGCGCCTGAAATTCCACCGCGGCGTTCGATCAGCATTGTAGAACTGTGGAAAATTGGTTGCCTTGCGCAGCGTTTATCCCCACACGAGATTTTCTGGGGCAGCGGATTGCGTTGTATTATGAAGAATGTCAATATTAGCAGTTGGCCGCGGATTGATCAGGCGGAAACGCGATTGTGTTGTGTCGACACTAGACCGCGTTCAGCGAATCCGGGCATGTTGGTACAAGCCATAAATAATAAATAACCATTACGCAATGGCCCTGTCTGCTCCTATTATTTGAAAAACGACAGTACGAACGATAAACCACAGTCCAGACGGAAATCAAAAATCGTCGATCACGGGCGGTTTTTAAGGTTAATTTTTGTGCGTAGGTGCGGGGAAGATTATTCAGCGTTTCCCAGAAAATGACTGGCCGGACACGCCTTTCCACCACGGCATCGAAATGGTACCAAATCGTTACAAAAATATAAAATAAAACGTAAAAAAATCAAACTGGAATGGAATTAAATAAAAATCAAATTAAAATATAAAATTAAACTGATTACAATTATTTTTGGCATTTAGTTTGGGCTCGGTTGAAAAAAATGGAAGAATAAAATTTAGATTATCAGACTGCAATGAATTTAATTAAAACAGACAATTTAAATTGATTTAAAATTTTTTAGCTTGTTAGCTTTGGTGCAAACGGTTTGAAAAAATGGAAAATAAATTTAAAAAATTCAGACTGGATTGGAATTTAAATTTTAATATAATTAATGTAGAAGAATTCAATTAAAATTGAATTATTAAAATTGAATTATGGCTTGTGGTTTTAGTACAGTTTTAAAAATTGAAAATAAAATCTTAAACTATCAAACTGCAATGAAATTGACTTTAAATGAATGAAAATACAAATGTTAAATTGAAAAAAATTATTTTTGGCTTGTAGCTTTGGCACAAACGGTTCGATAAAATAGAAAGAAAATTTAAAAAATCTGCCTCGGGTGTAATTAAATTTAAATAGCATTTAATATGAAAAATTAAATTGAAGAAAATTGTTTTTGGCGTGTAGTTTTGTCAGCCGCAAGGCTGGCGCCTGTCGAGTGCCGCGCGCGTCCCCGAGTTCTTCGTCAGCGTGCTGACGGACGTGGACGCCTACCGGCACTACTGCGCCTGTCTGACCTTCGCCGAGCCCTTCACGCCGGCCGCCTCCCCCACCGCCGACGAGCTGGACGACGAGGAGCCGCACGCGGACAGCGAGGACGACGCCGGCGATGTCCGCGTCAAATTCGCCACCAAGTGCCTGTGTGTCGTGTCGCGGCACGAATACTTCGACGTCTTTCGGGTAAATTATTACAATTATTCCGCCGGAAATGTCCCGCGTTCCGTTCCAATCGGTGTCTTGATTGCAGCAATGCTTGGGGATTATTCTGACGGTGCATCTGGAGAAAACCTCGTTGAAGCTGGAGAAACTGGTGGGGACGTTGTTGGGGCACGTCGTGGTGCCGCCGCCCGGTAAGCCGCGCTAGCGAAGGATTTATTTTGGATTTTTATTGGAATTAGTTTTGATTTTATTGGAATTAATTTTATTTTTTTGTACACGTGTGGTGGTGTTTTTCGACAGGTGGCCCGCAGATTCGCTTCAGTATCGGCGCGGATGATTGGCAGTTCGTGCAGCCCAGCCAGTCAGCCGCGGTCCCGACGTCCCGCGAGTCCATTCTGGTATTATGCCGCGAGTTAGGTGCGTTGTGCGATTTTGTATGATTTATTCTGAATAATTTTTATGATGTTTCTCCAGTTTTGTCTGATGTATTCTGGATGTTTTCTGTTATTTTTTCCAGTTTAGTCTGACTTATTCTGAATAGTGAACTGTTTTTTCAATTTAGGTTTGTTTAATCTGGCTAATTGTTTTTTTTATTTTTCCTGTTCATGTGGTGTCTGGATTATTCTGGATAATTTCCAGTTTTCGTCTGATTTCTTGTGAATATTTTTGCGGATGTTTCTTAACGTTTCCCCCATTTGTTCTGCATTTTTGTCTAAAATTGTCTATTTTAATTTTCTAGTTTTATCCAAACGCTCAGAATAATTTTTACGGATTTTTTGGTGCTGTCTAAATTTTTTAATTACAATTTTCTGGGTTTTCGATGTTCTTTTGGATTGTTGTGATTAATTTTTCATGATTTTATCAGGTTTCAGAAGAAAATTTTTAATTTTCCAAATTTATTATTTATTTTTTTGCAGGAGTAAGCAACGTCCTGCGACTGCTGTGCGCCGCCCTGGTGGACGCCAAGATCCTCTTCTTATCCTCCAGCTACAACCGGCTGGCGGACGCCGCTCACGCGTTAACCAGTATTTTCTATCCCATGAAATACAGGTAAAAATCATAGAAAAAAACCAAGTAAAATTCGAGAAAACTTTGGGCAAATTGGGCAAAAATTAGACAGTATTTCTATAAAATTCGCCAAAAAATAAACGTGCATGTAAAATACCTTGGGTGTGCAGTTACGTGTACGTGCCCATCCTGCCGGCCCCCCTCCTGGAGGTGCTCAACACCCCGACCCCCTTCATCATGGGCGTCCACGCCTCGCTGAAGGAGCAAGTGGAGAACCTCGTGGTCAGTGTGTTTTCGTTGTTTTCCCCTCCCTTGTCAGTGCCGCAATGTTTGTGTGTAGTTGGATGTGATAATCGTTGATCTGGACGCCTGTGACCTGCCCAAATGGCCCGACAACCTCGCCCTACCGTCCGCCGCCTCCGCCGTCTACGCTCAAACCCTCCAAGCCCTCAAAATGGTACATTTGACCCTCAAAAATTTTGTAATTATTTTGTTTTGTATTTTATAATGTTTCTGTTAGTTTATTCTGTATTTAAATTACCTTTTTTTAAATTATTTATATTTAAAATATTTCACTTGTATGTAAATTAAATTTTGTATTTAATAATTTGTATTTAAATTATTTATATTTAAACATTGTATTTTATAGTTAAATGTAACAGGTTATTAAATGTTCATGATGGGTATATATTAATCCTTTTATTTTTCAATATGCACAACAACGAGAACCACTCAGTATAGTACAATCAGATGAAGAATTTGTCCCAGTTAACATGAGAAGGGACTGTACACAATATGCAGGTATATATTCAGTTTAATATTTTATAGGTTTTGGATCCGTCGTTGGTTAGCAGTGATCATGCATTCCCAAATGGCAATTCTAGTCGCAATAGCTCTGATCTGCAGGTAAAAAATATTCAATAATTTTTTCTAACGAATTATCTGGCATTTTTTATTTGTGTTAGGATAAAGAACTGCGCGCGGTTTTTCTGTGGTTTTTATGCCAAATTCTCGCCGGTTACCGGAGTTGTTTAACCGTGGTGCGGCTGCATCCGCAACCGGTCATCACGTTCCAAAAGGTGCGCTTTTTCTTATGAATAAAGCGAATAAATAATGTAAAAACGTGATTATATTTGCAGGCACAATTTCTCGGACAGCGGAATCTGGTGGGCGACGAGTTCGTCACGCGCGTGATCAGCTCCATGTCTTTCGGCCGCTTCATCCAGGAGTACGCGTCGCCTTTCCGCCAACAAACCGTTTTTGACGAAGTAAGGAAGAAGAATATTTTTACTGCGATTTATTTTTCATTTTTTGTATTTTTCTTAATTTATTTTTATTTGTGCCTCTGACTTATTTCTATTTTCTTTTTCATAAAAATCAATCAATAATCAGTAAAATAATGAATAAAAATAATGGAGAAAAATAGGAAATAAAAATAAATAAAAAAGAATAAATCAATAAAATATTATTAAAGTGAATAGAAAATGGTGGATTAATATAAAATAAATATGAAATAAATTTCTTTAGGTGTATACGAGTATCCAGTACCTCCGGGACGGCGGGAAAGGCGACGAGGACGACGTCTCCCGTCGGGAAGAACTCCTCAAACGCATCGCCATCATCGCCAGCCGGTTGTACGTCAACGAGAACCCGCAGGGCCACGCGGCGCCCTTCGCTAACAAATGCCTCCGCCCCTCCACCGCCGCGTTGCTCCGCCCCACCTCCCAACCCTTTCCCCTGCTGGACGCCGACGCCGTGGAGGAAGTCCTCCAGGAGGGTGTCCGCCGGACCTCCGCGGCCAAATGGCCGGGCCTGACCCCGCCCCCCAGTCAAGTGATCCCCCTGGGGCCCGCCGCCAGCGCCGGGAGCGCGCCCGTCTACAACGCCCGCCGTCTGGAGGTGCTGTCCACTTGTATTGCGCATGTCTTTGAGAAAAGGATCAACGACGCGAAGAAGCTGATCCCGGCGGCGGTGCGGGTGCTGAGCAGTCCCAGTGCGCGGCTGGCGTTGGCGCGGGACCTCGCCGGACGGGTGCATAGTAGTCAGGCGGTGCTGGAGCACGAGCAGTTCGAGCTGGTGTGCAAGCTGATCAACTGCGCCCTGCAGGATGATGGCGGCGAGGCGCTGGACGAGCACGGGGTCGCCGCCGCCTTCATGCCCATCGTCTGCGCTTTCTGTCGGGTGGGTGCTGAAGAAAACTCAATTTTAATATTTTTTAGTAATAGAATAATTTTATTTCAATTTTCTTTGTGATTTAAGCGCCTGCGGGTGTCGATATAAATTAACGGATTAATATGCAGTTACTTTTTTTCCGGATTTTATGTACATTTGATTTATGCGTTTATATTATGTTATGCGTTTTGTTTTTATTTTATGCGTTTATATTTAAATAAAAAAAATTGTTATATATATTTGTATTTGTATATGCATTTTATTATGTAATATGTGTAGCGTTTATATTTTATCTGCATTTATATTGGAATTAGTTTTTATGGGTTTTGTTTGGGTGGTAGAAATTATCCACCGGAGTGATCCAGTTCGCTTATACGAAGGTCCAGGATCACGATATTTGGGGCAGTTTGTCCTTCTGGGAATCGGCGTTCTATAAAGATGTCCAGCAACATATAACCTCGCTGTACTGGCCGGCCATGCTCACACCCGACTCCCCGGAACGCAGCAAAAACGGAACCGGCAACGAGGTGCGTTGAACGGCATTATTCTCAATTTATTTGGTTTATTTTGTAAATGTCTGGATTTTCTGGTGAATTTAGTTTATTGCTGATTTATTGTTTATTTGCTGATTTAATGATTTAATATTGGACAGGTGCTGCCGAGTTCGGCGCTGGACATTGCGGCGGACCAGCTGCGCTCCTTCGCCGGGAACAGCCCCGACGCGCAGAAGGAGCTGATCGAGCGCGAAGAGTCCACGGTCTTCTCGCAGGCCATCCACTACGCGCACCGCATCGTCTACCTCCGCGTGCCCCTCGACGCCTCCTCCACGGCCGCCCGTCTGCGCCGTCGGCCTTCTTTAAACGGCGACGCCCACTCCAGCAGCATCGTCACCAACTCCTACCAGGTACGCTTCACATTCCATACATTTTCGGCTTTTTTTAAATAAAATAAATTGAATTGATTAATTATTGAATTGATTCCGATAATTATTTGACAAAATTGCGTATTAAGTATCTTAAACATTGAAGTTGTTAAAAATGGGATTAAATTGTAATTTGCCCTCTCCTCCACAGGAATCGGACGTCGGGAGCCTGTCGGACGAGAGCGGCTTCCAGGAGGAGGAGCGCGGCGGCCGCGAGCTGTCGTGCAGCGCCGTGAAGAAGTTCATCGCCAAATTCGTGGATAAAGTGTGCAGCGAGAGCCACGTGACCGAGGAGCACATCCGCCAGCTGCACCAAATGATCCCCGGGGTCGTCGACATGCACGTCGACGGGCTGGAAGCCGTCTACCGGGAGAGCCGGAGTCTCCAACCGGTGTTGAAGAACCGCATCATGCGACCGACGTTATTAAGCGGGGAGGACATGGTGATGGACGGACTGCGCGGGCATCTACTAATGGACGGCCGCCTCGAGGGGGCGCACCTCATCCCCTGTGAAGGGGCGCTCTTTTTAACCACCTACCGGGTCGTCTTCATGGGCGTGCCCAGGGATTCCTACTTATCCGATTATATCGTCGTCCGCAGCTTCCCCGTGGCGGCGCTGACCAAGGAGAAGATGCTCAACGCGCAGACGTACATGAGCCAGCTGGAGCATTACGCGCCGGAAGGGATTCAGCTGCGGTCGTCCACGTTCCAGCTGCTGAAGATCGGGTTCGATGAGGAGGTCACCCGCGATGTCATTGAGCATTTTCGCAAGTTTCTGGAGCGGATTCGCTATCCGCTGCACGTGTCGGAGCTGCTGAATCAGGGACTGTCCACGCACCAGGCCGTGATGAGTCTGACCAAGAGCGGGAAGAAGGTCGCGGGGTTTAAAGGGTACGTGACGTCCAGAGACCGGATTTATTCCGAATATTTTTTTACAAATTTTTCTTATTTTTCCCGATGATCTCGATTTTTTTTTCAAAAAATTATTCTTGATGTTTTTTAACAATTCACCTGATTATTTTGATTGTCCATTTTTTTCTAATCTGTTGTTGATTTTTATTTTTAAATTTTCGTTTTATCTTTAACAATTTTTCCCATATTTATTCGCGTTTAAACTGAATATTTTTTGGAAATTTTTCCAGCTGTTTTCCATTTTTATTCAGATTTATTCTTAGTATTCGTGACTTTGTCAGTTTTTTTTCTGATTTAATTTGGTTACTCTGATTATTTTTCCAAGTTTCTTCCTCATTTTTTCCAGATTTGTCTTCATTTAAACTGAACATTTTTTTTGAAATTTTTCCAAGCTGTTTTCCATTTTTATTCAGATTTATTCTTAGTATTTTTTGCATGACTTTGTCAGTTTTTTTTTGCAGAATTTATTCGGTTACGCTGATTATTTTTCCGCGTTATCTTCCTCATTTCTTCCGCACTTTGTTTATTTTTCTCCTGAGTTGTTGTGAATATTTTGAATGTATTTTTTGAGTTATTCTGAATTTTTTTGAGTGTTTTTCTTTTATTTCCACAGGTTTGCGAAGAAGACGCTGCTGCGCACGGCGAAAGCGGCGGGCTTGAAGCCGAAGACGGTGAAGAAGGACTTCCGCGGCTACAACCCGACGTCGACGCCCATCCCCGAGCGCAAGATGCAGCTGAGTCTGGCGGTGCCGCGCGCGGGGCCGGCGCGGGCCGTCTTCGAGGAGGAGAGCTCGGACCGCGACGACGACGGCGGCGACACGCTGGCGCCGGTGATGAAGGAGGCGCACAGCTTCGAGCGCGTCATCGACCGCTCCTACGTCAAGGATTACCGCCGGATGGGGCTGATTCCCAGCCTCTCCAACATCAGCAAAAGGTGCGTTTGTACAACTATTTTTCCATTTGTTTAACCCTTTTTTTTTTCATTTTAACTTGTTTTTTTTTTATTTTTAACTTGTTTTCAGTTTTGTCTGATTTATTTTTTTATCCGCAATATTTTGCAGAATTTTTCTCCACGTTTTTCCCAGCCTTGGTTTTGGTTGAATTTTTGTTTGCGGTTTTTTCTCTATTTTTCGAAGTTTTACCTGATTTATTTCGAATATTATTGAGGGATTTCTCTTACTTCTCCATATTGTGTCAGATTTATTCAGAATATTTTCGCTGATATGTCCAAATTTTGTTTGATTTCTTCATACTGTATTTTTCTTTATTTTCTCCATTTTTTTCCGATTGATTATGCTTGGTTCGGACGTCGGATTAATTGTAAGAGTTTTCGTTTTTATTTTTCCAAGTTTTATTCGATTTATTGTGGAATGTTCTTTGTTAAATTGTTTCTAATTTATTGTTCCCAGTTTATTTTATTTTTGCTGAATCCTTCTGTTTAAATTTCCCCGATTTCGCCACAAATCCGTTTTTATCCTGAATATTTTGGCTGGAAAAAAATCTGCTACAAATTAAAAACAATAACGTTGAAGACTTGAAGTGAACTTGCCCAGTTACAAATTTACAATTCGCAGGTACTCACCTGCGAATTGTAGCGATAACGTAGTGCGATGGCTGCTCGATTAGTGCCTCATATCAAGTTGCAATGGACAGCTGCCTTAAATTCCGTTTGAGAAGTCAATTTGAACATAGTTTTTTTACATCCTTGTATTCAGGAAAAAAATTTTAAATTAGCAAGAAATTTAACCAATTTACAAAAAACACATTGAAGTGAAAATTTCAAAAATAAATCACTTAATATTGGAAATAATAATAAGGAAAATCGTATTTATTGATCACAGTCAAAATCTTCAGAATAAAATAGAAGAAATTGGGAAAATATGGAACATACTGATTTATCCTGAATATTTTGGCCGGAGAAAATTCTGGTCCACATTAAGCGTATTTATTCAGTAAAAATAATCCGAAAAAAATACGAAAAGTGAAAATATTCCGAATAAAATTAAAGAAATTGGAAAAAATACGGGAAGATGCTTATTTATCCCGAATAATTCTCCCGCGTGTAGAATGGACACCTACCGCTTATGCCAAGTGAACCTGCACTACAAGATCTGCCCTAGCTACCCGGCGCTCTTCGTCGTCCCGAACTCCATCTCGGACGACGGCATCCGCAGTCTCGCCCGGCACTTCAAGCACAACCGCTTCCCGCTGGTGGTCTGGCAGCACCCCCGCACGCGCGCCGTGCTACTCCGCTCGTCCACCTACCAGCACACGCGCATGAGCAACGTCTTCAAGAACTCCTCCATGTCCACCGCCGGCTCTCTGATGACCATCCCGGTGGGGCCCCAGCACGACGCCCTCACCGTCACGACGTCCACCTCCTCCTCTTCCCAAGCGGATTTCGACAAATTCTTATCGGCGTTATCGCACAGTTTACCTTTATCCATCACCCGGCGTCCCTCCATGACCTCCGTGATGAATCTGAACATCACCCCGGATGCGGCGCGCCGGGGGTCCGGGACCGCCGGGATGCCCTGGAACCGGGCGGTGCAGACGCTGAAACCCGGGACCAACGGGAAGCCCAAGTCGCAGCGCTCCAGTATCTTCTTCTCCACGGATAAGTCGGGGAGTCTGTACACGAACCAGTCGGATTCGTCGTACCGCAGTGAGGCCTCCGTGGCGGAGTACGCAACGCCGGAGACGGCGTCCGTTGCGCCGTCGTCCACGGGGAGTGCCGCCGCGCCCACGCTGTATATCCTCGCCGATAAGGCCAATTTGAAATCGCTGCGCGGGGATTCCATCCGCTTCCAGGTATGATTCAATAAATTTTTGTATTTATTATTCTGCATTTTTGTTTGATTGAAATATTTTTTAATTTTTTTCAAATTTCATCGGGTTTATACTGGGCAGTTTGTCTGATTTTTACGTGGTTTCTTCCTGATTTTCTTGGGAATATTTTTTTTATTGATTTACTCGATTTTTTCTATTCTAAATATTTTGGTCGTCTCAGTTTCGTAAGATTTTTTTTTGGAATACTTTTTCTGATTTTTCTTAATTTTTTCAGTCTATTCTGAATAGTTTTTGGCTGTCTTAAATTTCATCCAAAAATTAATATTCCGGTATTAAAAACTGTTTTCAGTAATATTTTTCGATCATTTTTCCGCCAGATTTTGCCGGTTTTATTCGGCATTAATTTCTGATTGTCCTTGGGTGTTTTTGGAAAATTTGAAAATTTTCCAAGTTTATCTGAATATTTTTTTCTGGAATATTGGCTGTTAATTCCAGGTGGTCCCGTTGGACTACCCGGACATCCGGCGCATCAAGACGGCCTTCAAGTCGCTGCTGCAGGTGGTGGTGCCCAGCAGCATGGACGCCAAGCAGCCCGGCCCGCGCGCCGACTACGGGCAGGCCGTGGAGAATCTGGACTGGCTGCGGCAGGTGCAGAAACTGCTGCGCGTGGCCGGGACCGTCGTGGACCTGTTGGACAGTCAGGGCGCCTCGGTGCTGCTCAGTCTGGAGGAGGGATGGGACGCCAGCTGTCAGATCTCCGCGCTGGCCCAGCTCCTCCTCGACCCCTACTACCGCCGAGTGGAAGGTGATTATTTTTGTCTGTTTCTCAGGATTTTTCCTAAATTTTTGCCGATTTTATTTCCAGTAATTTCCCCAATTTCCCCATATTTTTGCCAGTTTGACTCGATTTTATTCAGAATATTTTCTGGTTTTTTCTTAAAAATCTCCAGTTTTTCCCCCATGTATTTCGATTATGGTTTCTGCTTTCCCCTTGATTTTCTCCGTTGTATCTGTTACTGTGGATATTTGTCTGATTTTTCCTTTTATTCTTAAGGTATTCAAAGTATTGTTTCTTTAAACTTTCCTAATTTTGTCGGATTTATTTTGATTAATATTTTTAATCTTCCGGTTTTTTAATCAATGTTGTTGGATTTGTTCTGGATATTTTCTTTAATTTACCCGTTAATTTTTGAAAATTTGTTTAGTTGATTTGGAATATTTTGAAAAAATTTTTTGCTTTATTTCCCCAGTTTACTCTAATTTTCACTGAATATTTCGTATAATTTTTTCTAATTTTTGTAGGTTTCGCCGTGTTGGTGGAGAAGGAATTCGCCGCACTAGGCTACCGCTTCGGCCACCGCAACTGCCTGATGCAGGGCGGCCAGAACAGCGCCGTCGCCCCGGTGTTCCTCCAGTTCCTCGACTGCGTCGCGCAACTCCAACGTCAATTCCCGTTGTCCTTCGAGTTCAACGCCTTCTACCTAAAATTCCTCGCCTACCACTCCACCAGCAACCGCTTCACGAATTTCTTAGCGGACTGCGAGGCGGAACGTGTGGAAATGGGATTAGAAAATCGGAATTATGAAGAGCAGATGGAGGAACTAGATCCGCTAGCCTGGCCGGTGGCCTTCGGATCCGTCTGGAAATATATCGGGATAATGCACAAAAGGACGACGAAATTTTATAATTTTTTATACGCGCCGCTGCCGCTGGAGGAGGACAGTATTTTGCGGCCCTTCACGGAGCGGCATAATATCGTGCTGTGGGAGTATTATCACGAGGAGGCGTTGAGTCACGGGACGCTGTATGATCTGGAGTTGGTGGAGGAGACGGAGGAGGAAGGGGAGGCCGAGAGTAAAGGGAAGACGCTGGGCAGTAGTAATTCTTCCTCGCAGGTATGCTGGCCGCCTGGCACATTCAAACCAATTTTCCCCGAATTTTACAAGGAATTTTTAAAAAATTTTAAATAAAATTTTAAATGATTTTAAAATGAATTTCTTATTTAAAATTTTCAACGGATGTTCAGTCAACTGTTCATTGCATTTTTCTATGAATTCTTATTAAATTTAAAATGTATTTAACAGGAATTTAGATCAAGTTTTTGAAGCACCGAAATGGATATCGTTACAAAATAATAGCAGATAAATGTCATGTTAATGTGATGTTAATTTTTAGTGTATAATTTGACGTTTTTTGGTGCGATTTGCAGGCCAGTCTGGCCAAACGCGCTATGACGAAATCAAGCGTGAAGCCGGTGGAAGCGCAGCGCCGCTTATTGATGAACGGCTACAATAATTCCCTCCACACCGTCGCCTCCGCCTTCGCCGGCTTACTGGAGGAAATCGCGCAGTTGGAGGAGGAACTGGCCGATGCCGGCAGTCCCACCTGGCAGGATGTGAGTTCGCTTGTAAATTATTTTGAATTTATTGATAAAATTTGTTTGTTAATTTTATATATGTGGACCGAAACCCATTTCCAAATTCAGTCCTAATTCCTCTTTAATTTAATATTTTAATTCAGTTTTAAAGTCGCTTGTAAATTTACTGAATTACTCATTTATATTAATTCGTTTTGAAACTTTACTGAAATCCTAATGAATTTCAAGCCAAATTTCGAAATAATTTATTTTTAATCCGGTTTGAAATTTGTTTTAAATTTGTTTTGATTGTTTTTGTTTCAATTCGCATTTTTACAATTTATTTAAAGCCATTTTTTTTCCAGAAATTCATCTATGAACTCGTGTAAAATGGCCTTTAAATTCATTTTTAGATATTTTTTAATTTCTTTTGGAAATTAACTTATAATTCGTTTAAAAATTTAATTAAAAAAGATGTGTAAATGGCTGTGGGCGTGGCAGGTGTGGCAGCGCGTGGACGAGGAGAGCCAGCTGATTCTGCCCCTGAAACCGCCCGCCGCCGCCCCCACGGGGGCCTCCCACATGATCCGCTCGCACAGTCGCCGTCTGCAGACGCAAACCACCCTGGAGATCCTCCACGACGGACTGGGCAAATCGCCGGACGCGGCGGGCCGGCACACGAGCGAGGGGACGATGCGCGCCGCACAGGCGCACCGTTTCGTCAAGCAGACGGCGCTGTACACGGCGGCGGCGACGTGCGGCGCCTGCGGGGCGCTGCTGTGGGCCAACGGCAAGCAGGCCATGCGCTGCACGCTGTGCGGCTGCCACGTGCACGAGCGCTGCGTCGGCAGTGTGGCCAAGAACTGCGCCGGGTCGACGGGGAACGGGGAGAGCGATCCCGGGACGCTGCAGCCGGAAGGGGGCGGGGCGCGGCATATTCTGGTGGAGCGGGAGTCCCTCCTGGTCGGGACGCAGCGGGAGAATTCCCCGGCCAACAGTAAGCCTGCAAATATTCGGATTTTTACTCCTCAGATTAAAGTGAATTTAAGATAATTGAAATGGCTGAGAGAAACTTGGAGGGAATTTTTTTGAGAAATTTATTGGGAATTTAAAAGAAATTTTTACAAATAAATTTGGTTAAAAATCAACGAAAAGAGTTAATTAACGACCAGCTGAATTTCGAGGGTTATCAACTGTGTCGTTTACAAGGACAGATTAATGCCGACATTCGTAGTACAGTGGCACTTGTCCTTTGGTTCCATTTCGAATCTTCGATTAAACGTGCGTACTGCGGAGATTGTCCACGCTGTAAATTACGGGTGTGTAAACTGTAAAGTACCGTTGATAATTATTGGTTCAAGTCTTTTTAGAAATTTTTCTTGAATGCCTAAAAAATAGAAAAACAGATAAAATGAGCTGTAAGCGAATATGTTTTCATTACTTCAAAATAAGTTTCATTACTTCAAAATCAACTTGAACAAGGAAATGATGCAATGCTGGATTTTAGAATGAGTTTAAAATAAATCCAAATGGGCTGTGAAAAATGATAACAAAATAATTTAAAATAAATCTGAATAAATCGGAGATAAATGAGAAATAATGCGGAAAGAAATAGACTGACTTGTGGCCGTTTGCAGCGCCGGTGCGACACGGTCAGCCGGACGGCGCCGGTCTGCAGGGCGGCGGCGGCGGTTCGGGGGAGAGCCGCGTGATGGAGGGCTATTTGTTCAAGCGGGCGGCGGTGCTGACCGGCTGGAAGCAGAAGTGGTTCGTCCTCGACTCCATCAAGCACGAGGCAAGAATTCATCCGCCATTTTATCCAATAAACTCCGCTGATTAAATTAAAATCAATTAAAACCAGATAGAAATACATTAAGCTGAGATAAATGGAATGAAATGAAAATAAATGAAAATAAATCGGAAATAAATTGAAATAAATCGGAAATAATTTGAAATAAATTGAAATAAATTGAAATAAATTGTAATAAACTGAAATAAGCTGAAATTAATTGAAATAAATTAAAATTGATGGAAAATAAACTGAAATGAATGGAGGATAAATGGAAAATAGATTTAAAAGCATTGAAATAAATACGGAAAAATAAATGCAAGTAAACAAAAATAAATTGAAATAAATCAGAATAAAATGGAAAGAAATTGGAGTGAAATGGAAATTAATTTGAAATAAATGTTGTATAGATCCGCTATTACGAACACTCGCAAGAACGCGAGGTGCGCGGCCGCATCGATTTGTCGGAGGTGACGAGTGTGGCGGCGCGCGTCCCCGGCAGCTCCTCGACGGCGCCCTTCACGGTGACGAAGGAGGGTCCGCGCCGGCTGGACGAGACGGCCTGCTTCGAGGTGCGCACGGCCAAGCGCGTCTTCAGTCTGTGCGCGCACAGTGCGCTCAATGCGCAGGAGTGGATCGACCGCATCCAGATGTGTCTGCAGTGAGGAGACGGAGGAATTTATTACGGATGAATTACGCACTGATTTCCCGATCGTCATGACACGTTTGATCTTCCATGATAAATATTGAGATTGTTGTTTTTTTTATTTGTTGGCTCACTTGGTTGCTTTTTTTTCCGCGTTCCCGTTATTATTACCTGATATTTGACAGAGTTGGTGTAGCGCGGCGAGGCTGATACAGAGAGTGCGCTATTTTCACTTGCATTTTCTCATCGTTGGGAATGATTCTAATTAAATACAAATGAATTAGTACGCTGGAAAAAAATCAAAGTAATATATAAGCGAATTACAGAAAATAAATCGATTGAAAAATCACAATTTAAAAATTCTCTCAGCGTGCGGATTAATTTGATTAATCGATTTTAGAAAATAAATCAATAAAACATTGCGTAAAGATTACAAAAAATAAATAAACGGGATATTCATATAAGAACCGAATCAATAATTAATAAAATACAAAAAAAAAGAGAATAGAAAAATTAAATCATTAAAAAACCACAAATACTTAAAGCAATAAAAAATATGTTAGAAAATTACCAAAAAAATCCAATAAAAATTACATACGTATTTAAAAGACCAGCAGAAATGCCGACGAGTCAGAAAAGAAATATTAATTATTCCTAATAAATCAATAAAATATTAAAAATGGATAGGGCAGTTAATTCGGGTTCCACTGCGCTATTGAGCGATTTTACCGGGACAGTCTTCGCGCGCTGACACGGCACATTTCGCCTGTCTTCACCTGCACACACGCACCCAGCACGTTTTCCTCGCGCGTTTAACCGGCAAACACATTAACGCTGACCGCGGCATTTTTGCCAAGTTGTGAATGAATCTTTTCGTCCAGAACGTATCAGCCCAAGAACAAACACAAACAACCCATCCATCGGCAAACAGCGCTCCACCGCAATTGACGCCACATGCGGGGATGATCGGTGGGCGGGGTCAGACATGATTGGCCGGCGGCCGACTCCATTAACGCAGAATGCGGATAAACCAACAGCGCGCGCTTTGCATGTGCAGCGGCCGTGGCCCGGCTGGCGTCACAACTGTCCGCCCAACGTCACAAAAACGCCCGACTTCCCCGAACAACAGCTGCCGAAAAGCGGTGAAAGTCCAGCGTATATAAATCACTGCAACACGGAAAATTGCAGTAATAAAAATTAACAGTCATTCGAGCGATTCTTAATACAGTTGCATATATAAAAAAGTGACCTTTGTTACTTTTTATATATATAAAGTGTATTTGTATATATAAAAAGTGGTCTGTTAATAATTTTCGTGTATATTATATGCAAAGCATATATAAAAAGTGACCTTTTGCAATTTTGTGTATATATAAAGTTGCCGTTTATATTTTCGCCATGTGTATCAGCAAATCCGGGGACGCGGCCGTCCAGCCGAGCCCGTCCATCTCGGAGCTGGCCAAGCAGAGTCTGTACTTCGCCTACATCACGCAGGACCACGGCCACGCCCACCACGCCCCCTTTTCCCTGCCCTTCCTCCGCGCCAAAGCCAAGGACGAGGCGCGACTCCTCCCAAAAGGTCACCATGCCGAGATCGAGCCCGACGACGTCCTCCTGGTCAAACGCAAGGAGCCCCTCCCGGCGCCGGACACCTTCATCACCGTCGACCTCCAGAACCCCGCGAAGACCCTGGAGGTCGTCCAACCGGAGGTCGCGGCGCCGGAAGTCCCGGTGAAGGCGGGGAACCGGCGTTTCCGGTGGAATCTGTTGTGGTTCGCGGTGTTTTGCGTCGGGTTCGTGCCGCTGCCGTTGTGGCTGTCGGCGGTGTCCTGCGTGGGCGGGTACCTCGCCTCCTGCATCGTGACGGTGTGGATGTCCGTCGTGATGCTGGTGTGTGTCGGGAACGCCAGCTGGACGATGGTGCGCATGTTCCGCGCCAAGAACAAGTCCTGGCTGGAGCACTACCCGTCCCCGGAGGCCGGACAGCAGTTGGTACATTTAGTGATCATGGCCGGGTACAAGGAGCCCCTCCCGCTGATGTGCAACACCCTGGACACCTTCCGGCAGCAGACAGTCCGGGAGCGGTTGTGCGTGGTGGTCGGACTGGAGGAGAAGACCCCGGAGTTCGCCGCCAAGAAGGCCGAGCTCCTGAAACGCTATTCAGGGGACTTCCTGGACCTCCTGGTCACCCAGCACCCCTTCGGCGTCCCCGGCGAGATCCCCGGCAAGTGCAGCAACAGCAATTACGCCGCGCGGCAGGCCGTCGCCGCGATGCAGCGCAGCGGGACCATGTCCGGGGCCGTCGACGCCGGATTGGTGACGGTGACCTTATGCGACACCGACAACCTCTTCCCGCCGCGCTACTTCGAGTACCTGGGCTACGACTTCCTGCGGCGCCAGCCGGACGCCGACCGGCACGAGGTGGTGTGGCAGGCGCCGCTCTTATACAACTACGACCTGGACAAGCGCCCCTTCTTCGTGCGGGTCACCGGGATCCTCCGGGGCCTCTTCATGATGGGCATGCTCATCCCGCAGGACATCAACACCATGTCCTGCTTCTCCATGAGCCTTAATCTCCTCATCGCCGGCGACTACATCCATCCAGGTAAGACCGCCGACTTCCGGTGACCTTTCCGGGTGTCCGCGTTAACTGGTGACCTTTGCAGGCTACCAGATGGACGACATCATCTGCACCCTGCACCGCATGATCGCCCTGCACAAGCGCATCCGCATCCCGCTGATCCCCTACCCGGTGGTCAGCGGCCCCACCTCCGGCGTCGACCTCCGCCAGGAGGTCACCGAGTGGGCGCGGCAGGCGCGGCGGTGGACCATCGGGGCGGCGGAGGTCTTCCACTACTTCTGCGTCAAATGGCGCAGCTTCGACGGCTGGTCGGGGGTGCGCTACGGCGTGACCTTTACCCACTACTACGGCTTCGTCATCTGCGGGATGTCGCTCTTCTCCTTCACCAGCCTCGTCGCCTCAGCGGGCTACCACGGCGCCGGGGTGTGCGACGCGTCGGTCTACCTGGCGCCCCTGTCCCCCTACCTCATGTACGCGCCCCTGGGGGGCGTGGCCTTCTCCTACGTCATTTACCTATGGGCCTTCATCCTGGACGCCGTGGCCACCCGCGGACTGTTGAATCTCCGGGAGGACATCGGTTTTCTACGGAACGTCCTGCACTGGGCGGTGGCGCCGCTGGTGCTGCTGGCGTACAGCGCCGTGGAGTACTACGCCATCTGCGAGGTGGCGCTGCGGGGCAAGGAGGTGTGCAAGCACGGCGCCAGCAAGAAGGACGGCCTGGCCACGCCCCCTTCCTCCGCCGGGTCTCCGGCGTCGTCCACTTCCGTGTCGACGATCTCCCTCGACATGATTCATCCGCAGTTAGCCAAGCCGGGAAAATACTAAACTGTGACCTTTATGTATATTTAAATATATGCGCGTAAAAAAACTGACCAGAGTCTTTCCGCCGCCGGTGGGCAGTTTGCGGTGTTCAACTGTCTCGGCGTGTCATGATCATTCAATAGAACCTCGTTCATATATGCAGCTGATTTTAATTAAATGCTTTACATTTAAATTGCGCCAATATATGTATGGGAAAGCGAAATGTGTTCGGGAAATCAAAATTCATAAATGGAATTTTTTGTGAGCGATGCTCGTCTCTGCAACCATTGTGAATAAATATGTGCGAAATTCTGCAAAAATATACTGTAATTTACTACTCTGTTCTCGCAGATTGCACTGTTCATGAAATGAATGTGGAAAATAAAATAAAGTTGAACAGCTGATGATTTCAAGAGAGACAGCAATCAGTTTTAACGTGGAATATCTCTTCAGGAATATTACAGTATTCCATCTTTAAGGGAAGTGGCCCGATACATGGTACCAAATTCGTGAACATGCACGGAAACTTTCACTTTAGCGCACTCTCAAGCATATTTTTGTTTCGGTTTATGGTATTCTGTGGCCAGATGACTTGTATACACTGGCGTGAAAACCGTTTGTGCGCGCAACATCCGGTTCGGGAGTTATGGCTGTAAGAAATTCCCAAAAGTTTAAATGCTTTCAGGTGTACCAAAAGTCTCATTATGGACCGATCTCCTTCAAATTTTGCCTGTAAATGCGCATGGCCATGAGGATCGTTTTTACACCGATCCAGTCTTCCATGATTTTTTTCCAATTTTAAAATGAATTTTAAAATTTTTGAAATTCATTTTAAAATTTGAAAAACATGCTAGAACAGTGGATCGGTGTAAAAACGTTCTTCGTGGTTATGTGCATTTACGTGCAAAATTTGAAGGAGATCGGTCCATAATGAGACTTTTGGTACACCTGAATGCATTTAAACTTTATGGAATTTTTTTACAGCCATAACTCTTGAACCGATGTTGCTATTTCACGCCGTATACAATCATCTAACATAAAAACACAAACAAAATGCAACTAAAATGAAGTTTCGTCATGTTCCGAATATAATTACTTCCCTAAGCAGTCGTGCTGCGGATCGCCAAAGCTATGCAAATGTAGTTTTCCTGGCTTGTTTTCGACCGATTGACTATTGGTTTCTACTCGTAAATTTATGGTTTGTAGCGATGTGACGAATGATGATTCGAAACCAAACTCGGCTTCCAAACAGTGAGACGGTTCACATACATGTACTTAGAAAAATTTAATTTGGTGCGATATAATCTGTAAAACTTGTTTTCTGTTTGTATTACAGTACTAGTTTTAGGCGGAGAAAATGCTGAAATTAAATGGCGATTTAATAAAATACTGGTGGAAATAACGTTTGATCGATGACGGTGACGATCTCACTGCATTTCTTCGTTTATAACAGAAAATTTATTGTATAGAGATAATTTCTGTTAGAAATTATATTGCCAATATAATATACACTCATAATGTGTCATCTACTTGTGAACTATGATCATTGTCTTACTAGCTGATCTATGAGTGTACGGTGCACCCAGGTCACCAATCCCCTTGTTTATCAGATGTTTAGGTGCAGTAACTTACTAATATCGTGAATGTACCTAGTGCTATATAAGAAACCTGCTTGTATAACGTTGATGAACAGAACATAACAGAACAACACCAGTGTGTGCGACGCTTCCGGTTTCTGTTCCCGTGACTATAATAATCTCCTAATATAAATTCTAACAGATTATGAGACCTGCTTGTCTCTAAGCAGGAAGTTGTATCTGCCGTGTCTTACTAGTATAGTGGTTTGCTACTGTTACTGTTACGGACGCCAAGATGGCAACGTTGAAGGAGATAAAGGTCACGGTACTCAATGGCTCGAACTACGCTCGATGGAGAGTCGAAGTGGAGGACGTCTTAACTGGAGAAGGCGTGTGGAGCATTGTGGATGGAAGCAACAAGATACCAAGAAATGATCCAGCAGACGAAAAGAAGCATGCCGCTTATAATAAATGGATATCCGGAGACGGAAAAGCAAGAAGTATTCTGCGCGCAACGCTCGACGAGGTTACCTTCAATCAGGTACGCGACTGTGCAACGTCAGCAGAAATTTTGGATCGGATTAAAGAGTTAAGGAGCCGAAAACTGGATGCGACTTAATGACCGCGATGACTGAGTTTTTCGGACTGAAGTGGAAGGATAACGACGACGTTAACACCTTCATGTCAACGCTGCACGTATTGGCATCGAAGATCGACGCCTGTGGGAAAGCCGTGAAAACCAGCGATGAGTGGCTGATTTCGAAAACACTGTCCAGCCTGCCAGTTGAATACGGACCCTTTGTGGCATCATGGAACATGATGGCCGGCCCCGACAAAGATGAGCGTCTTCCGTGAAAAGCTGATGTCAACAGAACAGATGATCAAGACCCAGGAAGAAAATCGTGGATATCCTAAAGGACCTTTTGGATCAGCCTATTCCAGCTATAACCAGAGAGAAAGAGAGAATCCGAACCGATCAAACCGATCCGACCGATCTAACCGATCCGACCGATCTAACCGATCCGACCATTTTAACCGATCTGACCATATGAACCGATCTGACCGATCTGACCGACCGACCGATCTAACCAATCAAACCGATCAAACCGACCAGTTCCAGTGTAACTACTGCGGAATGGAAGGACATACGACCAGACAGTGCCCAACCTGTCCTGCTTGTGCCAACTGTGGAATCGTTGGACATAAAGCCCAGTATTGCCGACGTGAACGCGTGAGAGAATCAATGTAAAGATATCAAGGATCCGAATCAAGAACCTTTGGAACCAGTGTGCATTTCAGTGGATATGGCGCGCTGGGTGAAGGGGGGTGTTAGAAATTATATTGCCAATATAATATACACTCATAATGTGTCATCTACTTGTGAACTATGATCATTGTCTTACTAGCTGATCTATGAGTGTACGGTGCACCCAGGTCACCAATCCCCTTGTTTATCAGATGTTTAGGTGCAGTAACTTACTAATATCGTGAATGTACCTAGTGCTATATAAGAAACCTGCTTGTATAACGTTGATGAACAGAACATAACAGAACAACACCAGTGTGTGCGACGCTTCCGGTTTCTGTTCCCGTGACTATAATAATCTCCTAATATAAATTCTAACAATTTCCAAATGCACGTTTATTAATTCGTCGACAATGCCGTTGGACATCATTCCGGAAAATTTCTAAATAGTGGCCTGTCCCAAGTAAACAGTTACATTTCCCTGCGGTGGCAGGCGACAATGGGTCGTTTCCGCCTCGGGCGGTCAGTTGCGTTGTTGAACTGTCCGGGCGTGTTCGTGCAACAAAGCGGCGCTATATCCTACCGCACCGAGCGCAAGTCTCATGCATAACTGATTTTAACGAATGAGATATGACAATAATACTGTAAGCAAAAACACATACGCACATGGTACATACTTGCACACGTACCGTACACATACAAGAAATACAGCAAATGCGCAAAGAAATTCCCAGCGTCTCGGATCGCTGGGAAAAATGTATAGTTGTATACATTGGCACTATCGCTCAACACAGCGCGTTCTGCCAGCGTTGGCGTGAGTGTGCACTTGCAGCGTGGGCCAGGCGCGTTGGAGTGGATCCGGAGCGGCGCGCCGGCAGATCGGTGCTGTGCAGCGGGGCCAGCTGCAGTCGATCCTGCCTGTCTATCATCCCTCCATCGCGGCGCATTATGAATGTGGGCCGACTGTCTTCCTTCCGGGCCTCTCTGCCTCTACAGCCTGTATACATACAGTGATACACGTATATATACATACACACAACGCGGACGCTGCTCAACAACCGATCACTTGCGCTATATATTCGAGACAGCTGATCACCCGTGCCTCCAATTTCTTCACGATACTTCGAAGTATTGTACACACATTCCAAAAGAAATTTTTTGCTTTGTCCTGACTTTGCATTTGACCTTTACGCGAAATGTGCATATGCATATATATAATTGTGAAATCATGCAATGCGTTCATACATACACCAGTACATAATCATAATTATCATTTTTTGGATTTTTATTGGTCAAATCAAACTCATACAGAACTGTTAGAGAAAAAACACAAAACTACAACAGCAAAAGTTCATGCAGTTTATCCTGCCCTTCCATCGTGCCCAGCACTGACGCTGCATTTCCCCTTTGGATTTCTATCGACAACCGCTGCCGCAGAAATTCATGCGAACGTCCTTCTCCCGTTTGCTGTTTAAGTCTTTTCCCTAGCTCTTTGATGATTGCAATCGCCGAAGGTCCCCATGAACCAAGCGTCTCGAAGGCAATCGGCACGAAAAGGTAACGGCCATCCAGATAAGAGTAAAATCTGGATTTCTTTTCCTCTGCTTGCACTGCGGCCGCTCCCGCAATGGCGGAAGTAGCTTTTACATGCGACGGCGCAACCGTGTCTACGCATGTTATGTCCCATGCTAGACACAACCCGCGTTTCCAAGCGAATGTCGTGCAACCGTCCGGGCGGCGTTCGGTGGTGTGAGAGGTGCCGCGCGGCTCGAGTTTTGCAGGTACGCCAGCGGATACAAAACTTCTGCAAAATATGCTGTTCAATCCTCCGTGACGCGGAAGCCGTCCGGCGGAATAGGTACACGACAGCCCGTGGTGCCCATAACCGTCAACTGCTTTATGGCATTTAGCACAGTCATGAGGGTCGCAGATTGTGGCCCCAAGGCGGAGACCAACGCTGATCTTTAGTTCGTCGTCGCCTAGTAGATTGCCGATGTGGGCCGAGGGCAACGCGTTAAGCCAGAGGCCGGCTTCCGGCCTAGACTGGGCAAGTAAACGCGCTGTATTGATCTCATCGCCTTGAAACAATTGCAGCAGGGTGGATAAGGAGATGTTGCATAATGGTAGATCCCAGGCCTTCTGGGACTTCCGGAATGGGGGTTCTGGGATTACTGGCTGAGAAGCTTTGAATTTCCAAGACTCTTGAGCATCGGTAACATCTTTGACGTTGAGCTCCGGAAGTAGCGCGGACAGCAAGCCGGATACGGAATGAATCGAAGCCAAGAAGGCTGGTAAAGATAATTCTTCCGACCGGCGGAAGAATTATCATTTATAGATTTGTATTGTGTATATATGTGTTAATGTGTACATGTTATGTGGATGTATATTTATACATATGTTGTTTTATATGTGTACATGTCTATACATATTTTTACATATGCATTTGATGTACGAGTGTATGTCTTGTATACATAACATTCTGGAAATATTTGTGCCTCCAAAAAACAGGAACACGCCGGTGATCGTCTGTTGAAAATATATAGCGAAAGTGATCAGTTGTTGAGAAAACTGCAAGTATATGTGGAGTTCTGTGCAGCGGATCGATGGATGCCAACGGACCCGGCCTGGCAACACAGCCGCGTTGGTGGCCCGGGACGGCGATCGATCGGATCATTGGGATGCGCCGAACCGGCGCTGCGTGGGGCCAGAGCGCGCTGGAAGGATGCACGGGCAAATCGGCGAGCGTCTCTGTCAGCGCTGTTGGCGTGCGAGTGTGAGTGTTGTGCTGCGGGTTGGGCTAATAATAGCACGGCCGTTTGCGCTGGGATCCTGCGTGCCGCGGCTGCATATGCCACTGGTATATCGCATCCGCGCCGTGAAGTGCCGTGTGTGTAGACTGTAGAGTACACTTGTCGGGTATCTTCCCTTTCGGGGCTTCCGCTTACTTTTCACCTGACCGATAGTTGCCAATAACTGCCTCTAATAGCTCTTCCTCACTGCGATCAACTTGGTCGTTTAAAAGACAGCCAAAGTTGACATCTGCCTTTCGCTCCTTGCTCACCGTTCAGAAGCCCATCAGTTACCATTACACACGAAAATTATTATCTTGTACAGATTAATCAGTTAATCGGCAGCGCAATGGCTCCATAATTTAATAACACGGGATGATTATTTATGCGTGGAGCGGATTTGCGCAAGTGTCACTGTTAAACGACACCGGTGTCGCCTTCAAGCAGGTGAGTCTGTCTGCCGGTTTCAGTGTGACTCTCTCTGCGCTGTGTGTACGCTGGTATATCCGCATGCGCCAATCAGCAACAGTGTCTTTGTTTAATTATATCCGACTTTAACTGTTTAGCATATGAAGGACTTTATTTGTTAGCTGCTCACCCAATGAGAAAGTCGTACAATCACTTCAGCCTTTTACATGCGCTGTACGGTACATTTAATTACAGTATACACAAACATCAGTGATAGGCATAGTATAACGTGTGTCTTTAGATTAATGTCCGTCTTGACAACAATTTTTTTAGCAGCGAAGAAAAACAGTCTCCTTGTTGTCCTCTTCTCCCGTCGTGCCTGTGAGCGTGCACGCAGGCCCACGCAGCACACTTAACTGGCTGGCAATTGAGTCCGCGGAGATAATCAATCGATCAAGTGGCAGAAGGAGCGCACACAGCGTTGCCGAGCCGGCACATCTGCACAGTACACTGCATAATCATCTGCGCCCCGCTTAATCCCGACTTGATCCCTCCGCGCGCGCGGCGTCGTCCGCACCCAACCCACGTCTTCCTTTCCTCTTATCGCGCCACTCTATCAGCCTGACAATGGCGCCATATGCGGCGGAAGGAGTATAAGGGACGCGCGGCATACTAATGGATCTCCGCGTCGTCCTGTGCGCCCTCTTCTTCTCCCTCGTCGATTTCAGTCCCGGGCCGACCGTCGCCGCGCAGGTCGGTTTAGAAATATTTAGAAATGTTTAGAAATATTGAGGAATAATTTCCAGGAAGTCCCGCCCGAGCCGCCGCTGCGTATCCGCATCGGGGCGCTGCTGGACAGCGAGGAGCACCGGCGTTTCTTCCTGCGCAGTTTAACCGAGGCGGCCGGCACCTGGCAGCCGCCGCTGCGGACGCTGGAGGGCCGGCGCATTTTGCTCAACGCTACTGCTGGCCTCGTCCACAGCAATCCCATCGCCACAGCCCTCCAGGTCTGCGAGCGGCTAATGGGCGAAGGCGAGGGTGACCGGCTGCACGCTCTTCTCATACTGGAGCCGGCGGGGACGACGGTGACCGGCCCGGCGCCGGACCAGTTTCAGTTGGCGGCGGCCGCCGTCTCCTACACCATGGGCTTCTATCGCATCCCGATCATCGGGCTGGCCAACCGCGACAGTGCCTTCTCCGACAAGGTACGTGCGCTTCGCTCGGCAGATCACGTCAATCGATACGGTTGAGTAGCGGTGATCGTAAATCATAATAAACGCACATTCCGGCTGATGCGCTACTTCAACGCGCAGTGCATTTACTAGATTAATTTTCAAGTGCATATCGTTCTATCGAGGAATACCCCTGCCTCCAACAGCGAGCAAAACGCGCCGGCTAGCGGTAGCATTCCATTTCGTTCCCTTAGCATCTAACGCTATTTCTGAACATTTCTAAATATTTCTAAATATTTCTAAATATTTCTAAATGATTCTACATATTTCTAAATATTTCTAAATATTTCTACATATTTCTAAATATTTCTACATATTTCTAAATATTTCTCAATATTTCTCAATTTCTCAATATTTCTCACTATTTCTCACTATTTCTAAATATTTCTAAATATTTCTAAATATTTCTAAATATTTCTAAATATTTCTAAATATTTCTAAATATTTCTAAATATTTCTAAATATTTCTAAATATTTCTAAATATTTCTAAATATTTCTAAATATTTCTAAATATTTCTAAATATTTCTAAATATTTCTAAATATTTCCAAATATTTCTAAATATTTCTAAATATTTCTAAATATTTCTAAATATTTCTAATGATGGTAAAGTGCCGATCGACCTTTGGTAGAACATCCATCGCAGCTTTTTGCGGACGGTGCCGGCGTACTTCCAGCAAGCAGACGTATGGGTGAAGCTGGTCGTTGAATTGGGTTGGAAGAATGTAATGGTGCTCAGCAGCAGCAGTCCCAACGGGCGGATGCTGCTGGCGCGCCTGCAGAGTCAGATGGAGAAAGAGGACAAGGACATTGCGGTGCGTGCGTTAACTTTCTATTTATCATAGTTTGGCTGTCGGTTAACCGGCTCATGTTGTAATAGTATTATTATGAACAGATTGAACGCGTCGTGGAGTTTGAAGCCGGCGGCGGCAATCTGTCGCGCGAGATGCGCCCAATTGTAGAGGCCCAGAGCCGCGTCTTCCTGGTGTACGCTGACCGGGCCGAGAGCGATCTGCTCTTCCAACAAGCTCAACTACTTGGGCTGACCGGTGCCGGTCACGTCTGGATCGTCACCGAGCAGGCTCTCAGCTCCCCGTACTGCCCCCTCGGCGCGCTGGGCCTCACGCTGCAGTTCAGCCGCAACACGCAGGCGCACATCACCGACGCCGTTCACCTCCTGCTGCATGCCCTGACCGCTGCCTACGCTGAGAAGACGCTGGCGCCGGCGCCCACTTCCTGCTCCGATACCGCCGTGCCTTGGACCGATGGGCCCTTCTTCTGGCAGTACGTCCTTCGTTTGCAGTACGTACATTTCTCCATGACCTTTCGCTATGTTTCCCACTTTCCAGGACCCTCCTAAAGCAGGAGCTGATACGCGGCGCCACCGGCCATGTGGCGCTGGACGACGTCGGGGACCGGCGCAGCGCCGACTACCAGGTGGTGAATATTCAGAGCGGCCGCCAGCCGGTGGTGGTTGGGCACGCCCAGACACTGCCGGTCAACGACGTCCGTCTGACGCTGGACCGCCGGAAGATCCTGTGGCCGGGGGAGACGCGGGAGGTCCCCAAGGGACTCATCGTCCCCAACCACTTAAAGGTAAGGACCCATAATCTCCACAGGATGCCTCTCAAATCTCAATCGATCGATAAATCAAGCACTCAGTCAATAATTTATTACGGAATAGGTGTTGACTCTACGGGAGGCGCCCTTCACCACGGTGGAAGCCGGCTGGATGGAGGGCGGTCTCCTCAACACCAGCTGGTGCGCGGAACGCTTCCACGGCCTCGTCGGTTATTCCAACCGCTCCCTTAACGCCACCACCGGTACGCATATGCTGTTGCAACACTCGTTCCCACGCTCTGTTATTCTTGGGAAAACTTTTCCTCTTTGACAGAATCGGTGACCGAGCGCATGCGGATTGCCGGGAAAGAGTATTTCGCCTACTGCTGCTGGGGTTACAGCATGGATCTCCTGCAGAAGCTCGCCGGCGAGCTCAACTTCACGTATGACCTCTTCATTTCGACGCACACACCCTACATTGCCGCAGACACCAAAGGCAGGGTACGGTGTACATTCACATTCGACGGGTAGATTAGGAATGTAACTTATTAACAAGCTGATAAGTCAGACACTTGAACAGTACACCGCCGCCTCGACGGCGGCCAACATCATTCTGGGCCGGAATGTGTCGCTGCCGATGGGGAGCGCGACCGCGACCCCGGCTGCCGGTGATCCGCCGCTGTCCGGCATCCTCCGCGACCTGATAGAGGAGGCCGGTGACATGGCGGTGGCGGCGCTGACCATCACGCCGGAGCACGCCAAGTTCGTGGAGTTCTCCAAGCCCTTCAAGTACCTGGGCATCACCATCCTGGAGAAAAAGGTGCGCCCGTGCCTCGTCTTAGGCAACCGATCAGTTTAGATTGACACTGATGATGATCTTTTAGCCACCGTCCTCCTCGACGCTCAACTCCTTCTTCCAGCCTTTCCAGGAGGATTTGTGGGTGCTGGTGATGGTCTCCCTGCACGTGGTGGCCGTGTCGCTGTACCTGCTGGACAGGTTCAGCCCTTTCTCGCGCTACCGCCTGACGGAGGACGGGGAGACGGAGGACGACGCGCTCAATCTCAGCAGCGCCATGTGGTTCGCCTGGGGCGTCTTGCTTAACAGCGGCATCGGCGAGGGTGAGCCGCGTCCATTGAATCATCGCTTCCGATCATAACTGCTTCGATTCTTAACAGGCACGCCACGCAGCTTCGGCGGACGCGTGCTGGGCATGGTGTGGGCCGGCTTCGCCATGATCATGGTCGCATCGTACGTCCAACTAAGAATATTTTATTCCGGTGACCTTTGTTCTAATCGGGCTTGTTTTTACAGATATACCGGTACGCAACCGATTCATCGCTGTTTGAAGCATGAGGATAATCACTTTGTTTGCAGCCAATTTGGCGGCGTTTTTGGTGTTGGACCGCCCGCAGTCCGTTCTCAGCGGCATCAACGATGCGCGGGTAGGGAGAGCTAAGCGCTGCTTTATTTGCCGTAAAAAATTCTAAGAATTTTAAGAGCTATCATTGTGTAGCTGCGCAATCCGACGGAAAATTACGTCTTCGCGACGGTCCGCGGCAGCGCTGTGGACCAGTACTTCCGGCGGCAGGTGGAGCTGGCCACCATGTACCGCATCATGGAGAAGCACAACTATGACAGCGCCGAACTGGCCGTGCAGGCGGTGCGCAATGGGTGGGTACATGTCACTGGCGGCGGTGGGCGGCCGTTGACTTGTCTCCTGGTCTAGGACACTGAAGGCCTTCATCTTCGACTCGGCCCGCCTGGAGTTCGAGGCGGCCAACGACAGCACCTGCGAGCTGGTCACCACCGGTGAACTCTTCGGACGATCCGGCTACGGCGTGGCACTGCGGAAGAACAGTCCCTGGACGGCAAAGGTCACGCTGACCATCCTCGGCTTTCATGAAAGTACGTCTAGTGTACCGTGCGCCGATGGCTGTACAATTAAGAAACCTAAGAAATCTAAGAAACCAAGTGGTATTGGGTGTCTTCGGCAGCCGGGTACATGGAGAGCCTGGACAACAAGTACATCTACATGCGCAACGAGACCAAATGCGTGGCCGACCAGAACGCGCCGGCCACGCTGGGCCTGGAGAACATGAAAGGTGTCTTCATCCTGGTGGGTATGGGCATCGGCGGCGGTGTCATCCTCATCATCATCGAGATCAGCTACAAACGCCAACAAGTGCGCCAGCAGCGCAAGGCCCGGTTGGCGCGAATGGCCTTCGACCGTTGGCGGCGCTTCGTCGAGGTACGTTGGGGGAGGGTCATACCTCCGCCCCCGGGGGTGACACTTGCTTGTCCGTAATCTAAGAAACCTAAGAAATCTAAGAAAAACTTGGTGTGCAGCGGAAGCGGAAAAGCCGGCAGCGCGGCATCCTCAACCGCGCCAACACCAGCATCGGCCGGTTCACGGTGCCGCTGGCCAGCAGCGACACGGACCCCGGCCTCCTCAAGGAACTGGCCGACCGGCCGCTGTCGCATCCCTCGCCCAAACGGATGATCCGCGGACACACCGTGTCGGCTGCGCTCTAACCTAACAGACCGACGCCGAATGATACCGCCCACTCCGTCCGATTCCAACCTGAATTTGTCTCCTCCCACATGTTTTCCTTTACAACGAAGACATCAACAGCACTCCGGTAATTATCACGTATACTTTAACGTCTATAAAAGGTCACCGACGCCGTATCTTTTTTAATAGGTGGCCGATCGACGTGGTCCGAAGATAAGCTAAAAGGTCACCGATGCCGGTCGTCAATTGTCCTGCACGGTTTACCTTTTAACGGGTTTTCTACTGATTATGACCGCCTTGACACGGAGCGTGTCGCGCTACCTGTACTTCCAGATTGCCTGACTTCCTCAAATCTTTCACTTGTGATAATAACGGTTCACGTTTGTATCTCGCTAGAATGCGCCGTCATCGTTTAACGGAGTTTTGTTCTTCTTCTCGCTAACCTTTCTATTCTTTTTTCATTAGTGATACTGGTTTTATCAGTGTGGTTGTACAATTCATGATAAACCTATGTGCTTTGCGCTGTCTACTGACGCACCCGAAATGATCGATCACTTTTATTGACTATAAAAATTGTTTCCAATTCCATGACCGGTTACAGCATATTGTACATGCGCGCGCAGCAGTGGTCAGTGGTCACTGACAGTGTAATGTATTTCCAACGTCCAGATCGTGTTTTACATGTATATGCGCCAAGAGGACAGGCATGTGGCCGGTGCAGCGTATGTACAGGTACGCCGACGGATTGGACATTTGTCGGTCTAGGATGTACTATGTAGAGGTAGCCCTTTCGTTCCTCATACGGCAAGCAACGACGCAAACGACACCCTTGGTGTCGATTATCACCTGTGCCTAAGCGCTCACCGTCAAACACTTTACCGTTTTGCCCGCATTTTGGCGTAATCAACGTGAACACAGACAACTTACTCTAGCCATATTTCTGTTAGTGCATTTTCAGTTCCTGTTGTGTTGGAGTAAAGATTGTTCTCGTGTAACAAGTTGTTCTTCCCTCCCGCCCACCCTCTTGGGAGAGGAGACGGGGGGTTGTTTTAGCAAGGACGGCGGGGCCGGTTGCGCCGGTGTCCCGTGTTCCGGTGCTAGTGTCTTCACCCAGTGCCCAAATAAAACTGAATCGTTACGCGCTGCTGTTGTTGTTACCGTAGACTGCGTTAAATAGAATTAGCACAGCTAATTCCGGTTAACGCAGCGGAGGCGACCAAATAGATCGCCTCCGTATAGAGAACATATAGAACGGGTTTCCGATTGTTTGCGCGTATTGTCTTAAGGCCATGGCTAGTTCGGCTTTGATCAAAAGGTGCCATTTTGCAAAAAGAAGCGGCTATATAGATTGAAGTTTGCTCTATTAGATGGCAGCATTATCAAAGTTATGAAACTGCAGGGTTATGAAATATAAATTTTTCAAATTAGCTGCCTAAACTGAATAATGGTGCAAGCAGTGACTGGCCCGGCTTACCATTACAAACGCTTATGTAAGCTAGCGCACCTGCGATGAAATCAATGGAGAACGCAGAATTGTGATCCACATCTTTTGTTTTACTGACAGCCATAAAACCGAGCACTGGTCAGTGAAATGAAAGCAAACACCGAAGACAATAGATTTTGATCACACCGAAGTGTGGTAGGAAGCGAACAATCGGCTGTCTGGACAGTCACTATGGTTTGGTTTGTGTGGTGGGCTAAAACAGTCAACGTGCCTTTGACTGATGTAAACTTGCATGAACTGTCGAAGGCTACCGTTCAAAATGCACCAAATGAAGTTTGAAAACTAACTCCTAATTCAGGGGATATAACAAAATTGTGAAACTTGATGCATTGGATTAAGAAAAACCATGGAAGTATAATTGCGAGAGCGATTTTGAAAAAAATCGTTTTTACTCAAGTTATATACGGAAATCGAAACCCTAAAAGTGTTTTTTCAAGTTTTTGAAGTTTAAAATTTTTTTATCAAAAAAAGCCCTCGCAAGGTGCAGGAGAACTGCGTTTACGATTTTCTGGGTGGTTTATCTCAAATTCTGTATGGTTCCCTGCAGACTAGTTAATTTTTTAACGTGATTTTTTCGATTCAAACTTTAAACTGTGTGTTGTAAACCGATCTTACCAGTTTTAAGTTGTGAATTTTTCTCGATTTAAACTGGACAGACAGATGTATCGAGAAAGAGATACGATTTTAAAAAACTTATAAAACCGGCCTTCTTCATCTGAATTAAGCCGAACTAGCCTTGGCCTTAATGGAACATACCATGTGCAAAACTCTGGCAAATCACAGGTCTTACTTGGCTCGATCTACAAATGGTACGCGGTAGGTCCTGAATGTATACTAAAGTAGCCAGCCTGTGATCTGTGATTATAGCATCTGACGTGTTAGTAATGCTTTGGACCGTTTTACTGTAGTCACCGGCACTGAAAGTAGAATTGTACTATCCCCCGTGGCACGAGACCGCTGCCGCATTAACCAGATTAAGAATGCTGAGAACGACTTTTCTTTAAATATGCTAAAACATTTTATGAAGGTTCAGTACGGCAAATTTTCTCCATTATGTTCATTTTTTACCTTCTTTACGAGGTGGAAATTCCAATTTAGCAGTAAATTTGCATGATGACCTTTGTCATTGCATTGAATCAATGCAATGATTCAATGCCATGACAAAGATCATCATGCAAATTGGTAGCGATAATGGTAATACAAATATCGATCGGGCTAGCGCGTGGCCAGTTGTGTTCGAGGTATGGAAGAATGAAAGAAATTAGAAAATATGTAGAATACTTCGTACAGCAATAAAATAGATGTTGAGAAAAATATTTCAAATGTAAAATCCCAGCGAGGCCAGCTGCAAAATTACTATTTTAAACATGTAAAAATGCGGATAGCTTTCACGCTTTCCGGTTAAATTCGACCAGTTTTACAAAAATTGTGAGAACGACCGTAATTTTTCTTTTGTTGGTCTTTTTCACGTTTTTAGTATAACTTCATGTTGCCGATGTAACCGACTCCGAGCTTGCATTTTTTTGTACGATAGCCTGTCGTGTATAAAGGAAAGACGTTGTATAAAGGAAATCTTCAAATCATACACATACCGACCACGACACAATCGGTAAGATGCTCTATCTCACACTGTAGGGAAAATGGGATGGCCTTTACTACGAAGAAGATCCGGAACAAGACAAGAACTGCTGGAACTCAGGAATCCCTGCAGCAAACACGAGAAATATGCAAGAAATGCGAGCATACTTACGTGACTTCACGCTAGATGTTAGCAGAAGCGGTAAAAGTATGATCCATCAACCTGGCGCTACAGCGCATGAAGATGATGGGACTAAATGGTCAAAAATGCAAATGAGCGCTAAAGGTCACCTATCTGACTCCGAGACTACCTGACTCTGAGTGATGCACGCCAGTGAAGTTCAGGAGTAGTTCAAAAATTAAGTGAAAGGTCACCCACAGGTCTGACAGCGAAATCGCTCTTTTGAACGAGAAGACCAGAGTAAAACCGTGAAGTTAATCACATCGAGAAAAAGTCTGTAATATTGTTGGGATTACAACTCGTGATGTTACAATGGGCGCCGCTGCGCTTATATAAACTCTCGCCATACGCAGATGCCTCGCTCGTCGTACAACTGCTATCGAAGAACAACAGAGATTTTAAAAACTAGCCACTAATCTACAAGATCGTGGGCTTTTGAGAACAAGAGGTCATGTCGTACATGCAAGAACAAAAGGTTATGTTACGTGACTTACGTCCATTAGTCGCGGTCACGTCCAAACATCGAATCGAGGTCGATGTTCCTGCTGGGGATTTCTGAGAAGGCACGACTCGAAGGCGGGGTCATGACCCGCGTAGCCGACGTAATAAGGATCGTAGTGTAAGGGCAGTAGAAGTAGTAACGTAGTACGATGTGTAGGGTCGCTACGCCCGTCCACGTCAAGCCCAATGGAAACTGGGGGCCGCAGCCTGATGGAAATGGAAATGGGCTGCCACCTGAGCTGAGGATCCCAGTTTTCATTTAAGGCTGACCACCGACCAGAGTCTCCCAGTTTGTTGACTTATCATGATTATTTAATCGCAATAATAATTATTCCAGTCTTTACAAGTATCGGTTGCGCTGGGTTTGGATCATACACGGAAGAGCTATAACAATAACGGCGTACAAATTCTCCAACCAAAATCTACAAAGAAGCTGACTCCTAGAGACAATTGGTCGTATGAATTAGTAGTTCTTGTCCCTTAAAACAAAGTTGCCAGTTTTAGCAGTAGCAAAAAGCATTATTAAATTACAGTAAGTGTTACATCATTATATCGTATAGCTATACATAACTTTCTAAGAGATTATTACTTTTGCTTATGGTAAATATTATTAAGTTACAGTAAGTAATTGCATTATCATACCATATACAATAACCTTCTTAAGAGGTTTATTTCTTACTTTTTTCAGACAATGCGTTCTTTAGGAGGACACATACAGGTATTATACATAAGTACTGCACTATATTTTACTATACATTAGAAATTCTGGAAATGTACAAGCTTTGGAGCTGGCTTTGGAAAAATTTAGCGTTGTTTTGCGGTTTCCGAGCGGATTTAAAAACACCTTTAAAGGTTTCGGGAATTTAAAAAAATAGAATTATAAGTCTGATGTGATCGACAATTTTCAATAGCTATTAATCAGGTTGCTATCTTGCAAAACTAGTATTTTCTCATGCGAGACGTTTCCAGAATTTACTGGAAATTTCTGTGCAGTTAAAACGCTAAGTACTGATAGTTTGAAACGTTTTTAGAAATATTCTGGAAACCAAAAGGTTTTTCTTAGCTACAGGTAGGAAACTTTGAAAGACGCTGGATTGTATAAAAATATCAACAGTATCACAAACTGAATCTCGAATTAGGAGATAATTTCCAAAAAAATAAGAATGTAGGGAATGTACATGAATCTAATGATAATATCATCTAGCTGCTTGCCATAAGCAATGTAACTTCCATTTTTTTTACTTTTTGGGCCGCTGCAGTTGTGGAAAAAAAGCGCTACTTACAGTTAGTTCGCAATTCGTAACGACACGGGGGTATATGTTAGCCGGATGGGCGTCCTAATTCTGCATCGCGGAGATTGCCCGATGAATAAGTATGCCGTCTATGGACTAATATAAACGTATACCAACACGTGATTTCGCGGAGGAGGAGGTATGTAGAAAGATCTAATATTCTAATTCCTTCAATAAGCTGCGCTCCGGTCTGCCACAGCACGTCGTAATGTGCATTTCCTGCTAGTAATAAATATTAGCCAAACCTGAGTAACAAGTTAACAACACTGTGGGCAACAGAGTAGAATCAGAACGGATTTGGGGAAGATTAGATCCACAAAAATATTGAGATACAGTATGTATTATCAAGGTGCGCAGATATTAAAGTAGTGACTGGAGTGCCAACTGGCAAGCAGTGACTCGGGACTTTGGCAGACTTTGCTATAGGTGAATACTAGTACACCGGTATCAGCATTCCGGCAGATATCTTTACTCTTTTAATACTGTGCCCGGCACTACTGAATAATGGCGAGGCGTCGGTGCAAAAAGATAATATAACAGTGCATTATAATATTATATTCACTTGAATAACCAACAGAGTCGGATATCATTTTGCACATCCTGCTCGCCACTGTCGTCAGACTGCACGTGAAGGATATTTACACGGTGCAGCCACGCGGACACGTACGAGGACTACGAGCGCACTCGCGGATCATGATTCACAATCCCATCAACGACTGGCCGCAGGCAACGTACTACGTATGTACGTACATTCTAGGTTTCACAAAACAAGTTTGACGTTCGGGTGGAAGTTGGCGTTACGGGTTGATTTATGTCCGTTCGCGACATACGGCGCCGTAACCCAACGTCACTGGCTGACGCGTAAAAACTATCTGCCTTACGTGGATCTGTGCAACGGCTCAACCAAATGGCTGATCGACAAGCCAGCGTATGCTGCCTGTGGATCTTTTTTGTGTGCTCTAACCGCCTCCCCGAGAGCAGGTTGGTCAGTCTCTCAGCACTCTCGATTCGATTTATTTTTCATCTGTAGGTCACCGGTCGCTGCAAGTGTGCATCCGTATGAGCATTTTAAACGATTTTCAGTCTGCTAACGTACAGTTTATGTGACGAGTCACGACGCCAATCTGAGTTCCGCCCGATCCATCCGGCGCAAACAGGTTTTCTTAAGATTTCTTAGGTTTTCTTATGTTATTCTAGTGTTTTATTAGGTTTCGTAGGTATTACTGGGTTTCTTAGGTTTTGTTATTTTTGTTATTTGTTTCTCAGGTTTGTTTTTCGAATGATATGTTTTCTTACGTTTTTACTACTTTGTCATGGTATTACTGGTTTGCTTCTGTTTTTTTTATGGTTCGGAAATGTTTGGTTTCCGAATTGAATGGTTTCCGAAATGAACCGTTTCCGAAATGAACGGTTTCCGGATACTTTCTTTCCGAAATGATAGGGTCCCGTTTAGCAAGCCCGCCGCTTCTTGCCCAAGTTAAAGCTGACCTTAATGTACAGAGTACAACTCGGATGCGGAGCGAATTTAACACGTTGATGGCTGGGAAAGATACAACTGATATTTCGTGTTTTTTACATTTTTTTTGACTTCCCGAGTTCACAAAGAAATTGCGCTGGTCTGCAGGTACAGCGACAGAAGAAGAGGAGCAGCGCAAACGTAATAAAATCTATTTTACATATTTTATGTAATTTATATATATTTTACCTAAAAAACTGTCTAACTTATGTTTTATTACTGCTTTGCTCTGAGTGCAGTACAAGTGCAGTGGGCTCTTCCTCGAGATAAGCGAGTGCGCGAGTATGATGTCATTTGTATGATGTCATCGGGAATGCCTTCACGATTACGGGCGTGTCATCCCATACTTGATTGCACATTCAGCTGATGACGTTTTGGTTTTTTTAAAACCTGTGATGTTTGAAATTTTTGCCGCCAAAACGGAATAAAATCCAGTGCAAATTAAAATATTTTACAAATTTTATGTAATTTGTATATATTTTCGTTCAGATTTTATATATGCTTCATTGAATTCGTACTTATTAATAATTATTATTAGCTAGCTGCATTTTATCTAGTTTTTTATACGCGATTATAGATTTATACTAAAAATAAATAACTGTCCTAATTATTTTACATATTTTGTACATATTTTACTTGATAGATAACTATTTTAACTAAAAAGTGTATACACTTTTTGTGGAATTATGCAACTTAATAAATTTTTGCTAACTAATTCACTTTTTTTTCTGCATATACGTATACTAGATAAGTAACTGTTTTTTGGTTTTGTCAAATTTATGCTGAATTACTATATATTTTATATTAAACTGCAGCCAAAATACTTCCATAAATAGTGAACCTTTATCAAGCATCATGATACGAGTACAAACTGTGTACCAAAACGAAACATTATTTACAAAAGAATTATCTCCACTATCCTATCCTGGTCGGGGATCGTACCCGTTACCCAAATTCACGTTTCCCCGTTGTATTTGCATAGATGCTTGCTGCTTAAATGTCCCTAAATGTATTTTTTTCCCTTAATGTTTCCATTGCCGCATAATCACTACGGTTTCCACAGACAACAAGCGCACTCCCCACTCCGCCTTTTTTTCAGAAGGTTTCGGCCAATCAATGTGGCCGAAAAACAGGAATGGTCGAAAATCAGCAGGATTTTTCGGCCATTCCTGTGCTTTATTTGGTCTGACATCCTTTCGAAATGAAACACCTCATGGGCGTTATTCAAACGTTTTTCTACTCTCTTCAAATCTTTTATTCAACTATAAAAACGCAAAATCCGGCGTAGTCATGATCGAAGGTTTTTCTTTACTTTTTCCTGAAAGTTTTTGCAATCATGGTTTCTAGACTTTTGCTGGCAAGGCTATGTGCAGCCATGCTGTATTTATTCCGCATCGAAGACAGCCGCCCGCCCACGGGTTACGTTTCCCGCAAGGAAGCGCTCTCCCGTGTGCGGGAGCGTCTGGGGCGGCGCGTAAAAAAGCGCACTTTTCATCGGGCACTGTCGCATGCCTTTCGAGGGTTTTTTAGCCGTACTGGAAATGGAGATCTGGAGGGACATCGCCCCCGCCGGATCCGGCGGCTTGTCCTCCGGACCCCGCACCGCCGGCCGACGTTCCGTCCGCAGGGCCGTCCTGGGCTCCCCTGCCGGCAGAACCGTCGGATGCCCCCGCAGATTTCTACCACGCCCCCGGACCAGCAGTTCCGGCCGATGACGTCGGACCGGAAGATTCTCCATCTCCGACCCCGTCCGTTGAAATCGTAGATATGATTCCCCCGCCGGACGACCCTTTGTTTAGCCACGGGTACAAGACACCCGTTAAGGAATCCCGGGCTCCCTCACCCTTTCGGGAAGCCTTTGCGGATTTCACCCCGTGGTCGTGGGTCATGGGGTGGTGGTCACCGCCCCCGCCAGGGTCCCCGGAGTTCTCCCCACCACTGCTCCGACCCCGTCCCATTGCCGCGGAAGCTGCTTCTTCCTCCCCGGGTGCCCGGCCGCCGAGCAGCCCAGTACCGGGACCCTCGCGTGTGTGGCGTAGCCCAGTCCCCGGGCGGTCATCGAACCCGGCAGCATCGCTTCCGCCCCGTCCCTTCGCAGCTGCCACCCTGTACCGTGCACTAGTGCCTGCTGGTGGCTCAGCAGCGCCACCCATGTACCGCGTAGAACCGTTGCCGCAGCCGTCTTCGGTGGCTCCGTTGCCACCTTCACCGCCGCAGGCGCTGCCTCTAGATCTGCCACCTCCACCGCCGCAGGCGCTGCCTCCGCCACCTCCGCCGCCGCAGGCGCTGCCTCCGCCACCTCTGCCGCCGCAGGCGCTGCCTCCGCCACCTCCACCGCCGCAGGCGCTGCCTCCGCCACCTCCACCGCCGCAGGCGCTGCCTCCACCACCGCCGACTCCGTCCAAGTGCCCGTTGTGCTGGGATGCCCTGCAAGAGGTGATGGATGCCGGTGGCTATGCCGCCGCCGCAACATGCGGCCATGTATTCTGCAATGGGTGTATCGACACCCAGTTCAACAAAGCCTGCCCGCTGTGTGGCCATCGGATCACCCGGAGCGGACGTCGCCGCCTTTACTTTGGATAAGTACTGTACGTTTCCTAATTCCTTCCCTATACTTTGTTTACTTTCTTATGTATGTAAACTAATTTGTAAAATGCTTGACCACCGCAGCGGCCGAATCACGAACTTGTTTAACTTTTCTAATTATTACTTTGTTGTTGTCGTTGTTGCGTCTTTGTTTTGGTATTCGAATGTTAAAGGTGAAGGACTTGCGAATATCTTGATTAAAACAAGAAAAAAAAACAATCCGTCGTTATACCAACAGTAGCAACTAGCGTACATCAATATAATACATGCCCAATTGGCGTAATACGCGTGCAAGATGTCGGCATCGTATAAATACGAAAATGTGAATTGCGAAAGCATTCGTGTACGATACACGTGATAAAACTGCACAAAAAAAGATCAGTATTATTTCCCACTAAATAAAGTCTCATAACATCACTGTTCGCACCACGTTCTGTCTCGGACCGTCATTTCTGTGGCGCGTATACGGTATAAAAATACCGGCAGTCTGTGGACACCGCATAATACTCCTTAATATAATTGCTCGTGCCTACAGGAAGTACACGTAGTACTTTACTTTTACTTAAAATACGTTGTTATATGATTACTAATTATCTGTGTCAGGATTTTGGCCTCTCTTCTTCCCGGCCAGTGATCTCAGCTTCTAATCACTCGAGTTTGCCGAATTAAAGTGCAACATAATTTTTAGACTGCTGGGAAAGTGTAACTGGGCTTGTAGCGCTTTGTCAACTTTATTTTGTTACGCCCAGTGGTCACTCAAACACTTGTTACCATGAATGCCATATGGCTAACACGGGATTTTGTAACCACGTGCATATTGGCGAACTGGAAAATGCGCTTCAGAAATGACAGTTACAACAGTATACAGTAGTTACGGCCACTGTTCTTCGGTTATTGTTCAGAGAACACGCCCCTAACTTGAAGTTACAAGCTGTATTCAAAATTTCAACGAACTGTTTCTACCATTTCTACCACTACCACCTCTCGCTGAATTTAATGCAATGTTTCCATTCTGACAAAGTTGCATTACAGTGCAAGTAAAAGTTCACAATAATTAAAATTGCCAATAATCGTGAGCCTATATTTATCTGTGCTCAGCTTGTATCTAAGTAAATTACAATATATTTGTCTTTAAAAGTATAGCTCAAGGTCCCTAATGTCCAGCATGCGTAATGTAAATAAGTAAGCAAAGAAAGTACAGGTAGTAGTTTGCCGGTATAGTTTCGTTATTGGCATTTGAGTGAGCAATGACTTAAACACCGCCCTGTCTGGGACGACTGAGAGATTAAATCCGAAAACGTTGCCAGGGATACCGGAAGCGGACACCCGGTAATAGCATCAAAACAGAAGGGCCAGGCCGCAAGACGATAGAGTTTTCGCCCGTAATAATAACTAAATCATTATTTTTCAATAGTGGTGCCCACAGAGTCTGGTGATAGGAGATTTCGGTGGTTTTTTGTAAAAAAAAAACCATTTTTTAAAAAAGGATAAAAAGTGGTGTACGGAGCTTTCCCTATATATTTAATGATTTCTACACTATTCATGCCGTTTTAACGGCGTGTGAATCTTGCCGATAATCGTATCATTAAGGATACGCAGCATAATTTCGTATAGGTCACCACTCACCACTGCCTTGAGTAGGTTCACAATGGAACACAGCCAGCGGATGCGCTATTCTACATCGTACCTGTGAGTACGTACATACTATATGCGAACTTTGCCGCTTACGAAAGTACAGTCCTGCCGCGCCAAGTTTTGGTCAGTTGCGTAAAATAAATTCAAATAAATAAATAAAATTCAGATAAATTTATATTTGTAATTTTCTAGCATAACTCTTTATTGCAGATCCAGCAGTGTCAAAGTTGTTGTCGTTTGACACGACAGTAATGAGCCATAAGGCGACTAAGGGGGGTGGGTTGGTGGTCATTTTTTTTTGGCCGCCTATAACTGCGGCTCTGAGAAATACACCAATTTATATTTCTGCGTTTATTTCTTCCAGAACTATTGTGTGACCCAAGGGGGTGTCTTTTATAGTTTAGCAGAAAATTCTGGCGCGATATGTGCTCGAGGTCACGTCGCAGGAAAGTGCATCCTCCATAGACTTGTTAGAGAGCACCTACAGAGAAATGCTGTTGCCTTTTGCGCGGGTTGCATTAGGCAAAATGTTAGTGCTTGGATGAAATGTAGAAAGGACCCGTTAAAAAACCACGCTATCGGTTGATATTCCTAACCTCCTCCAATTTTAGAAATATTTTTGGATGAGCTTGATTTTTTCTCAATAAGCACTGCGATTTTTGTACTAATAACTAAATCAAACAGCTAGCTCCCGTTCCCAGTACTTCAGCTTTGGGCATCGAAATAAAATTTTGAAAGATCGTGCAGACCAAGAGCTATCATGCAGCAGTTAAATAAAAATTTTAAACTTTACTGGAGAAAGTAGAGGAATTTTTATGGATGCCTAAACTTGGCGTGGCAGGGCTGTAATTAAATTATTAACGTTTTTTTTTTCGCAATGATTTACCATTTAGTAAAACTACTTCTACACGGCATACGTAATTTTCTCGATTTACGTAATTTTTACTGCTTAAATAACAAAATTAATATTTCTGTACAACGTAATATGTAATAGAGAGAATTTAATTCTCAACCTACACGGCCGATGGACATTTTTCAAACCAACATAAATGAAAACAAATGACAATTAAGATGATTTTATGACATTCGCGAACATTGCCAACAAAGATAATATTGTACATAGGCACATGTATCCGCAATATTCTCCGGGTGGTTACAAAATCTGTTAAGTGCTCTGTATTTCTGTGCAGAAAATTAGCTTGTGCTCAATGGTAATGAAAACAAACAAAAACTCAGAAGGCAAACCTACCGAAAAAATAAAAAACTTTTTTAGACTACGCTTTTAGGAAAACTGGCCACGCGATGCCAAATCCGTCAGAACGGTGCGTAACAAGCGTAAGTACGTTCTTTTTCAATGGTAAGGTTGTATGAATATAAAGATAAAGAATTCATCATGGCAGTCCTGTTCAACATTTTTGGTGTAATTGCCGCAATAAAAATTTTGTTTTGAATGCAGGTATTTAAAATAAAGTAGCTGTAAATTACAGGAGTTATACTTTCGGCGGCAAGTTTGTAAAAATATCATGAGAATACTAAACTTTAGGTAGGTAATAGTATACGATGTTTCGTAAAAAACAACATTTATGTATACAAATACAGCTGTTTACAATAATAGTGTTTCGTTAAAAGCAGGTAATCGACAAATAGCAGCTGAAATCATACATCGTTGACCTTATAAGTTGGATCAGTTAGATAGCGTACCACATTTCTGTCCGTCTTAAGCTCGCGATGCCGTTATCAGTCACTTAACGGTTCATCGTTGGCAACGACTATTGCGGCGTGTCATCTGTGTTATGCAGTATTACAGATGTCATGCCGCTTCAAGAGACGGCAAAAAGATAATGAGCCGCAATGTCAAGGAAGCATGCGCACTTTACCTCATTACCGCTCTCGTAAGTTGAGCCCTCTGTCTGTAATCTGATTAATGAATTGCATTGCGGTGGCCTCAGATCGCTACATCTCAGCCTTGCGTAACGGTCCAAAACGTTTCAAAAATAGCAAACCGGGTAATCAGACCCATTCTTCCCTGCAAAACCGTCTTCTGTGACTCTTGCAGCTTGGTTCAAATCGGCGGTAGGTATTTGTGTCCTGCAGCTCCCTGCTCCCTTTCAAAAAAAGACACCAAGAAGGGCTAATCGGCTACCCTTTGCTCTACAGGGCGCCTAAGCGGTTAGCCGGTGAACATCAAACATTCATGTTAAACGCCGGTTGCTAAACTCCTGCTATGTATTTTCCGAAATCTTCTTTAACAACGCGGCGTTTCTGGATCAACCGGCAGAGGGCTGATCTGAAACGTTATGCTAAGATGTAGCGATCTGAGAGTCACCGCAATGTTCTTGTAAGTTGAACCCTCTGTCTGACATCTGATTAATAAATTGCAGATACACACAGAGCAGAAACAAAAAAAAATAAATAAACACAGAGCAGGGCTGGCGCGACTGCCGCAGAGCGCAGACTGATGCGGTTGATGCTTACTGTGTGCTACAAATATTTAATTCAGTGCTACTTGAACCAAAGCGACATATGACGGCTAGGACTATTGCCGCGGCGCGACATGTTTCGCAACGCACACGGGTGACAGGCAGCAGTGAATCGCAGTTAACTATAAAAAAAGCGATTATCGTTGTAATTTGCTCTGAATAAGGTATCAGCGTGTTGGAAAATAATTGATGTTTATACGGAAACATTCGTAACAAAAGTGAGCAAAACTGTTTTTGAATAGAAGTACATTCAACTGTAATATCTTACGTTCTGTTGAACAGTGCCAGATTAGTACAATGGATCGCAAAACAGGCATCGTAAGCGTAGTCTACTCTTTCTTGTAGACAAGATGGCATTTTTTTCTTATGTTGCATATAAGACGCTGGACATGCGAAGATGATTGAGACCGCGTTACAGCTAGAGAATACTGTATTGTTGGTGTTTCTTTGATGGTCTTCTTGATTAAATCCGATGATTAAGCCGGCGGCTATTAGCGACTGGGTTGTACTTGCAGGTTGTAAGCGCCGTGCTGTGCAATTATAAGCCTTTTGTATAGTGCAGACTAATAACACTATCCATTTAACTTTGCATAACTGTCGAAGATCACTTTTCAAAACTTTCCCCTATCGATATCATATATGACAGATGTAAACATTGTGCAGTATACCGCTATAAACATACTTTTTGTCCTGATGCAACTGACTGTTTTCCGGTTGTAGTAATTAACGAAGCCGTTTCAAAAGGTAAAGGTCGATCTTTTTCCGAAACAGTGTACCTGTGCCGGTTAGTAAGATAGATTTTAATATTAAGGCGATTTTGTTTCACATCGAATTCCATGTGGACAATTTCTTCCTGTATAGAACGTAACTTAGATTAAAACCACAACTTTAAGAAGTTCTATATCAAAGCTCCTTTCTCCACATAAGCTGGAGAAGACATGCTACAACGAAAAAATCTAAAGGTAGAGAACCATTTTACGCAACGGCATTAACAGCAGTTCAGTCGAGTAAACAGTATATCGTGTTTTGATTCT